TTCTAACAACAATTTTTCTTATACTGAATAATATAACATATGTGTGATGTATAACACATATGTGTACATATGTGTATAATATAAAAACTTGTCTTGTAATGAATAATATAACATATGTGTAACGTATAACATATATGTAACATATAACATGTGTACATAGGCACTTAAACATCTACATAAATACACACATATGTACACATGCGAACATATATGTTAAATATTACAATGTTAAACACAATTATCTCCGTTTCGATTACAAGATGTCTCCCAAGAATTTCAACCGTGTTAATGTAATTTTGCTCACGCAAAGTAAAATTTTCAAGCAATTTTACGAAGAAGTGTGTTTGTATCACAAATACAGTTAAGTGCATTGAAAACATTAGCACCAGGAACGTGCATGCCGCATGAATCGACACACGCCAGTGAACCCGAAGAAAAGACTGACAATGAAAGGGGGTCAGATGTGCGGCACACGTTCAACGCGGAATAATTTTGTGCTGTTTACTTTTCAGCTTCCTATTACGAGTTCAATGAGCAATAAAATCTAGGATAAAACGCTGGGAAATTGTCCGTGAACGATGCATCGTTTCAGGAATGAATATACAAAATTGTGGTGGCATCATTAGTAAATTTACAAATTTACGAAACTTGGGAATATAGAAATTTAAGTGTTAACCTTGGGATTTGGAAATGTGGGAATTTAAATATTCGATAACCTGTGAACTTCGGAGGAGAGAAATTTAAATATTTGATAACATGGGAATTTGGAGATATGGGAATTTAAATATTTGATAATCTGGGAACTTGGAAATAGAGAAATTTAAATATTTGGTGATTTGTGTATTTGGAAAGTTAGAAATGTGGAGGTATCGAAATTTAAAAATATGAAAATATAGGAATTTACAAATTTACGGATTCCAAAATTTCAAGATTCCCAAATTCCAAGATTCCCAAATTCCAAGATTCCCAAATTTTAAGATTCCCAAATTCCAAGCTTCCCAACTTCAAAGATTCCCAAATTCCAAAATCCCCAAATTCCAAGATTCCCAAATTCCAAGCTCCCCAAATTCCAAGATTCCCAAATTCCAAAATCCCCAAATTCCAAACTTCCCAAATTCCAAGATTCCCAAATTCCAAGCTTCCCAAATTCCAAAATTCCCAAATTCCAAGATTCCCAAATTCCAAGATTCCCAAATTCCAAGATTCCCAAATTCCAAGATTCCCAAATTCCAAGCTTCCCAAATTCCAAAATTCCCAAATTCCAAGATTCCCAATTTCCAAGATTCCAAAATCCCAAGATCCTCAAATTCCAAGATTCAAAAATTCCAAAATTCCAAAATTGCAAAACTCAAGAATTCCAAGATTCCCAAATTCCAAAATTCACAAAATCTGCACCTTTCATATCCCAAACTATTGCACCAATTTCATCTACAACTTATCCTAGTTTACCTTACTCTACCTTGACGCACAAAATTTTTTCAACCGTTTTCCTTCAATAACTTTTTACAACACCAAATTCGTAGTAACGATTACGTTGTCCGAGTTACTTTAAAAAACTGATCAGTGTAGAAGGTTCTTATCCGGTTCAATTAAACGCTTCTACCTAACCTATTAATCTTACGTTCGACTTATCACGCAAAAAATGTCTCGCTAGATTCATGTGACATTCGAATCGATGAATGTCCTACTCGATCGATAGCGATACGTACGTGGTCGAATAATAATATTCGTGCTGGTCATTTCTTCCTGTATACATGTTCGCAACTTCCTGCAGCAACATGCTTCGGGCGATTGAAGTCCTTGTGGAGTAGGTGGAGCAATAATTAACCGGAAATATTTTGTCCACTTTCTTTTATATTTTTAATAAACATTTTTAATAATCATTTTTAATAAACATTTTTAGTAAAGAATGTCTAACAAACATTTTTAATAATGAATGTCTAACAAACATTTTTAATAAAGAATATCTAACAAACATTTTTAATAATCATTTTTAGTAAACATTTTTAATAAAGAATATATAACAATCATTTTTAATAATATTTTTTAATAAAAATTTTTAATAGATGTTTTTAAGAATAATTTTTGATCAAAATATTTAATAAACAATGTTCAAGTACACATTTTTAATAATCATTTTTAGTAAACATTATTATTAAACATTTTTAATAAAGAATATATAACAAGCATTTTTTAATAATATTTTTTAATACAAATTTTTAATAGATGTTTTTAGTAATAATTTTTAATAGACATTTTTAATAATAATTTTTGATAAACATTTTTAATAAACAATGTTTAGTAGACATTTTTAATAATAATTTTTGATAAACATTTTTAATAAACAATGTTTAATACACATTTTTAATATTCAATTTTAATAAAGATTTTTAATAATCATTTTTAATAAACATGTTTAATAATCATTCCCTACATGTCCCTGTCTCTGCCACACTTTAAAGCGATTCCACGCAACATTACAACTCTCTTACGTGCATTTATCTCGCAATTTAGTCTCACGGGCTGTTAAGATCTTTCGTACACGCAAGAAAAGGAACCACGTATTAAAGAGAAAGAAAGAAACGACGAAGTCGAACTGTATCGCAATGGGCAATTATTACGATCGTATCACGTGCCTACCACGAATCTATGCATCTTTTTTCATCTTAGAGTTTCTTCTCTTTCCAGAGACATTTTTATCGTCTTCCAAGTGCCTTCTCCTCTCGAATCCTTAGATGCACCGTGCTCCGGAACCTTTCATTTCTCTGCACGTGGAACGGTGTATAACTGTATCGGAATCTCCTGGAGGCCCACCTACGTTCACCTTCTTCGTCACGGTATAACACACGCGTTGTTTAAACGATGCAAGGTTTTCTCGCTGCATGTCTAGCTCGAATTTCCTCTAGGTACGAATTAAACGATACTATTTTGTCGTTGGTGATCTTGGTAGGTTATACGTGTAATTTGATGCGTGATTTCTTTGTGGAGAACTGTTGCATTTTAGAATCTGCAAATTTCAGTGTTTGTAAATTTGTAAATTTGTAAAATTCTCAATTTGAAAATTTCTGAACTTTCAAACTCCAAAAGTTCCCAATTTCCTAATTTCTAAATGTTCTGAATATTCAGATCAACAAATTTCTAAATTCTGAAATTTCCAAATATCGAAATCTCGAAATTTTTAAATTTCCAAATCTTCAAACTTTCAAATTTCCAACTCTAAATATCTAAGACTCTAAATCTCCAAATTTCCAAATGTCCAAAACTCTAAATCCCTAAATCCCTAAATCTCCAAATCCTCAAATCCCTAAATCCCCAAATCCCCAAATCCTCAAGTCCCCAAATTCCCAAATCATCAAATCCCCAAATCCCCAAATCCCCAAATCCCCAAATCCCCAAATCCCCAAATCCCCAAATCCCCAAATCCCCAAATCCCCAAATCCCCAAATCCCCAAATCCCCAAATCCCCAAATCCCCAAATCCCCAAATCCCCAAATCCCCAAATCCCCAAATCCCCAAATCCCCAAATCCCCAAATCCCCAAATCCCCAAATCCCCAAATCCCCAAATCCCCAAATCCCCAAATCCCCAAATCCCCAAATCCCCAAATCCCCAAATCCCCAAATCCCCAAATCCCCAAATCCCCAAATCCCCAAATCCCCAAATCCCCAAATCCTCAAGTTCCCAAATTCCCAAATCACCAAATCCCCAAATCCCCAAATCCCCAAATCCCCAAATCCCCAAATCCCCAAATCCCCAAATCCCCAAATCCCCAAATCCCCAAATCCCCAAATCCCCAAATCCCCAAATCCCCAAATCTCCAAATCTCTAAATATCTAAATTTCCAAATGACCAAAACTCCTACTCTCCAAATCCCTAAATTATCAAATCCCATTTAATCAATGACTCCAATTAATCACTGAAATTTGTGAACCAACCGTAAATTTGACATTTTCGACTTCACCTACAGGGAGTAAAATGTCAATTTACAGGAGTCTCCACAATTATCCAATCGTTGCGATCGCAATTAAAACACGTCAACGCTTTAGAGTGAATCACTGAATCTACTCATCCGCATATTAATTCTACAGTTTCGTGACAATTTTGCAACCGCGTCGAGAATACAAAGCGTGACAGGAAATTTTAGGTTTCAATGCCGCGTTGCTAATTCGGAATACCGAAGATTCATGTAATTTCGAATATTCCTAAGCGAGCCGATGCTTTCGTTTCACGGATAACAGCTAACGTCGTAAGAAGAGAAGAGCGAACGCAGTGTTTCGTACGTGAAATGTGGCTACACCGAATGTGCCGATTATCACTGCGGAAGCTACACCTGTGACTACTGCAACTCAATTTTACCACTCGGAATCGATATTTACCTAAGATGTTTGTTCCTGTGCCGTGATTGTGCCTGATTAGACCACGATAGAAAATAATTTTATTATCCACTCGTCCCAATTTTATGGAGCGAAGATAAATTGCAGTACCACCATTCCAAATGCACCATAACAAAATGGTTACTTGGTGTCATTTTCCAAGATGACCAAGGTTTCGATACCTATCATTTTTCATTATTACCGAGCGCTCGAAATATCAAACTTCATTACTTTCGTGATATTATCTTGCTCCTGTTTTTTGCTATAATTTATTCTTAGACTAGTCTTGAAATATGCTGCAGTCGCTACCTAAAATGCTACTTCGTACATGTTGCTAACGAAAACTATTCTTCATTCTTACATCAGCTTAGTTTTAAAGAAGTCAATTGAAATGCACTTCCTCCATAAAAGCAAACGAAGCAGATGCTCTATTAAACGATCATCCAAGACAGGACGATGAAGCAATAATCAGAATCGAACGTACGTAAGAAACAGAGATACAAAAGAGAGGGACATCAAAGATCGAAAGTGAAAGAGAGAGAGAATCCGTAGGCCACACTACTCTTCATGATCGACGAACACCTCTCTTTTACCCCCATTTTGTATAGCCAGTTAAAACGCTTCTCTTTCAGTTGTCGCTCGCCAACGTAGCGTTTCGTACGCTTCTTTGCTGCTCGTGTCTTTTACGTGCACGAGCAAGCACGTGTTTTCCACGGATTCTTACTCTTCTTCTTCTTCTTCTACTTTTATTCAATTGTCTCCGATAGATCGAGTCCAGTTGAATAGTTTTCCGTTACTACCGTTGTACATTTTCAGTTTCTACTTTTTTCACCGTTCGAAAATCGTCGGGCTGCTGAAAAGTGAAAGCGACAGAAGAGATTTTTGATTCGATACGTGTGCTTCCGCTAAATCTGTCGGGCCCTGCGGGAATCTTCATGAATCAGGTAAGTTTTCGACACTTTGGTTTCCTTTTTAATATTTTACTTTAACTGCGTTTGCAATGTTTTGAATTAAAATTGATAGGATCAATGTATGTTCATACATGTATATCAATTTTGCAGTTACTTTTCGAAACAAAAAATAATATTAATATTAATGGCTTTGGTGATATTACTGGGAAAATACACGACCTTCGAAAGATGGGAAAAGAATAAAATTTTAAACATCCTTCAATTTGAGAATAGAACAAATTAAAAGGTTAGAGAATCTGAACAAATTTAAAATCTAAAAATTCGAACGTTCAAAAATTTCCTAAATAAAATTTTTTTTAATTTCCTAAAAATTTTCTAAAGAAAATTATTTCTACTGGAAAATTGAGAAATCGATTTCTCGCTGAAGAAAATATATCATGAATGATTTCGGTCACCGATTCACGGCCTTCAACGTATAAATAAACACAGTGTACTATATAAAGGATAATGGAATTTTCTCGTGTATGAAATGATTACTGAAACTTGATGGTTTACATATTTAAGCGCGAAGTTGACGAAGATAATGTAACATCTAATTACTGAAGTGAAGAACGTTTGTGTCGTGGAATATTTCAGGTTCAGTAACATTTTCAAAAGTATTTCGCTTCGAGCAAACTATTATAACTGCGATCGCGTCATAATTATACGCTATCGTTGTAAAGACTTAGGTTATATTAACACTTTGACGGCCAGTGTCATGTAATAATGACTTTGATACTTTTCGTTTCATTTCTTTTAACTGTATTATTATTTATTTTTTACTGTATTTGTTTCTATCTGTTTCACGTTTTTATATACTTTGTTTTTAGTATTTTGTTCATTGATGTGAATTATAGCTAGACATAAATTGTATAAATTATGAGAACTTCAAAATATAGTTGCAAATGGTGTTACACAGGATATCTATAGTTAAAGCTAGATTTCTTATGAAGTACATAATTTTTTAAGTAAATACACAATAATTTTGTTATGAATTGTAATAAAATCTTTCTATAAAATTTGCAACATAAATTAATATAGTTAGTATTAATTATTTAGCTGATATAATATTTAATAATTCAAGTCACATTTTTCATTGAATCTGATGAAAAATTAATTTGTTGTTATAATACCAATAACATACTTCTCACGTTGTTAGCATATTGTTATAATATTACTAAATAAATTATTAAATTATCTAGTAATAATGTCACTATCAAGTTACTAAATAAATTGTACTATTATAAATATTGCAAATTATTATTGAAAATATTATTATAAATATTCTATTATAAATATTGCAAATTATTATTGTAAATATTATTATGAACATACTATTATAAATATTGAAAATTATTATTAAAAATATTATTACAAATATACTATTATAAAAATTGCAAATTATTATTGCAAATATTATTATGAACATACTATTATAAATATTGAAAATTATCATTAGAAATATTATTATAAATATATTATAAAAATTGCAAATTATTATTGCAAATATTATTATGAACATACTATTATAAATAATGAAAATTATTATTAAAAATATTATTACAAATATACTATTATAACTATTGCAAATTATTATTGCAAATATTATTATGAACATACTATCATAAACATTGAAAATTATAATTATAAATATTATTACAAACATACTATAATAAACATTGAAAATTATAACTACATCTCCAATTACAATATTTCATCAATTTTTAATATCACATTAAAATGATCAATTATTATAATCACCTTAAAATTATTTTCATATTTTTCAATTTAGACCTCCTATACAAAAAACTTTTCATTCACCACAAAAAAAACTTTTCTTACAGCCACCGTAAAATTATAGTTGATCAATAGCACGCGTACTTGTAAGTCTTTGATTAATTACCCAGTAACGAAACTTTGCTCGACGCGATATCAATGAACACCTAAAGCAAGTTCATAATTTTCATACAAGAAATCGATCACGGAACTATTCAAGTTAAGAGACGAAGGATACAGCCACTATATTTTCGGTGAAAGCATGTATATGCATATTCAATTCCGAAGAAAGTAATCCGATGAGCGAAAGTGACGAACACCCAAAACTTGTTCGGTTTTGGTGATTCACGTGTAGTGTTTCGGTAATCTGTTAGATATAATGCGAATCGTTCCACGTGCATGAATCATTCATACACTAACTAGTTTCTGTGTAGCAATTTTGTTTGATGAAAGTCATCGTTACTTTCTTTTTAAAAGCTTTTATATGCGTGCATAATTTTGGTGATTGAAGAGTTAGGTGGAAAGAAGGTTCGGTGGTTTACTAGAGAATGCGTGGGAATAATGAATGATTGCTTATTTGGCAATTTTTGGAGATCTTTGGAGATTTGAAGACTTGTGATGAGTTTAGATTTATGGGGGAAGATTTTGGGAGAAGAGAAATTTGGGGATTTGGGGATTTGGGGATACAATGATTTGGGGATGTGGTAATTTGGGGAAATGGGAATTTGCAGATGTGGAAATTAGGGAATGTAGGAATTTGGGGATATAGCAATTTGGGAACGTGGAAATTTGGGAAGATGAGAATTTGGGGAGATGAGAATTTGGGGTCGTGGAAATTTGGGAACGTGGAAATTTGGGGACGTGGCAATTTGGGGAGATGGGAATTCGGGAATGTGGAAATTTGAGATTGTAGGAATTTGGGGATATAGCAAGTTGGAAACGTGGAAATTTGGGGACGTGGCAATTTGGGGAGATGGGAATTCGGGGATGTGGAAATTTGGGATTGTAGGAATTTGGGGATATAGCAAGTTGGGGATGTGGGAATTTGGGGACGTGGAAATTTGGAAATGTGAGAATTTGGGGACGTGGTAATTTGGGGACGTGGAAATTTGTGGATGTGGGAATTTGGGGACGTGGAAATTTGGGGATGTGGGAATTTGGGAACGTGGTAATTTGGGAACGTGGAAATTTGAGAACGTGGGAATTTGGAGACGTGGCAATTTGGGGACGTGAAAGAGGATATGGGAATTAGTGGATTTGGGGATTTGGAGGTCTAGGAATTCGGTGATTTAGGAATTTGAGAATGCAGGTATTTGGGTTCTCTGGAATTCAAGAATTTAGGGATTCGGAGACGTGAGAACCTGGAGAAACATATTTGTAAATTTTGTAGTTTTTCAAGTTTGGAACATTGGAATCTTGGGATTTGGGGATCTAATAATTTGAAAACGTGAGAATTTGCCGAAAGGTCAACCTTGAAATTTAAAGACGTTACAATTTATAGATCAAGAGACATACGATGTTAGAACTAAAAAGTTCAAGGATCCAGATATTTAGAAATCTAGTTATATCAATATTCTATCAGCATTTGAATTCTATTTGAACAGCCTTGAGTTCTACTCGTATCATTCGTTCTACAGTATTTAAATATTCAAGATATCGTAATTCTAGTGAGATTCGAATTTCATTACTACTTTACATTACTAATTACATTACTGAGTATTTTACTAACATTTGAATATTAAATCCAAATTCTACCAAAACTCAAATATTCAATGTACTCAAATTTGCCTTTTATTCAAGTATTAAAAATTTAAGTAACATTTAAATATGTAAAATAATCAAATTTTATTGTTGTTAAAATAATTGCAACATGCGAATTTAACTAATATTCAAATATTCAACATATCAGAATTTCTTGAGACATTCAGAATGTCTGAATGTAAAATTGGACTTTTACCATTGTTCGAATATACAGCTGTCAAAGTATTAATAATTAACGTATTCATGTGCCGTATAACACATAACTATTTCCACCGTGACAGTAAACGTATTGAACAATCCCGTGGAACACCCACATACACCGTGTCTCCGACTTAGAGAGTAGGGGCTTTAAAATGCCATGGTCTTGCTCGCCAAACGTAATTGCCCGTTACGACATAGACATTGCATACATTAAACACATAGTATTTCGGCAAGTACTTAAAATGTACAACGCACAAGTTCATTGTGTAAATAGATCACACGTTTGCGTAAGCTTTTATTTGCACAATTCTTCTTTGACGTTGTTATTTTTATGAAATATGAAGAATTTAATGAAATTATTATCGATACGTTTCTTTGCTATTATTACTAGCTTATTTACTATAATAGTAAATTTACTAGGGTGGCTCAACAGAAATTTTCTTCTTTTTTCTCTGCTTTCACCCTCTAAAAATTAGTCTATGGCATACAAAAAGTCTTCTCAAAATTTCAGCTCAAACATTTAAATCTGAGATCGCTCAGAACAATTTTCTATCGGTATTGATTATCATATCGACTTTTAACTTCAATTTAAGATTACAGATATTACGATAAAGTTACTCAAAATTAGATGTTATTAAGCATCTCAGCCATGTCGATCAGCTGATTTAACCATGTTTACATAGTTGAGAAATCGATAAATGAGTAAGGTTAGGAATAGTGTTTGAAAATACCTAACTTATTTGATGATCGTTCAAAGTTTCGATATCGCTGCCAAATATTCGTTCATTGTCTACAAAAGATCTTAATGACTTCGTGACAAAAAATCCATAACTTCATTCGAACAGATCGAATTACCACACGATTTCCTCGATGCACATCCTCATTCATGGATTTTAAACAAAAGTTATAATTGTCAAAAATTGAAAAGTTTGCAAGTTGTTAATGATACGGCAGAGCGAGGAGTAGCATCGACAGAAGAATTTAATAAATGTTTAACTAAAAACGAGGATCAGTTGCTATATTTATTACAAGCAGTACAACGACACCTCGAAGAATATCCATCGTGTAATAAAAATGATTTGGCAGAAGAAAACTGTGGGACTTGAATTAAATGCATGAAAGTATATTTAAATTATAAGTTCAATACCTATAAGTTAAGATAGAATACAAATATAGAAGATAACTAGTGATAAATAGTTTTAAATAAATAGAAAAATTGCTAAAAAATTATATTTTCAAATTTATTTTGTAAACTTTTAGATTACTTTGGGACTTCAATTTTTTAGCTCAAACTTTGCAGTGACTTTTTTAATATAGAATAACAAAATGGAGACTTAAGCTATTATTAAGCTAGCATTATTTTTAGTATAACTCAGTATAAAATCTATCAACAAAAATTGCAATTGTATTAATTACAATATCATTGTACTTTTATTCTCAACAATGAAACTTTTCAAACTAGTAAAAACAATTTTAATAAAAACAGACCAAAATAATATCGTCTCCACCTTATAGGTTATGTTTCAACGACATTTTCTTTATCATTTCAGATTCTCCGTGCAACGACAACAACACTGAAGAAATAAAACAAAGAAATTCTTTTTATTTAAAATTATCTCCGTGGATTAAAACATCGAAGCAAGTTTAAATTAAAAAAATACTCAAAACATCATGTTGACTCACTTCGGAAGACGGAAACGAATTCCGGATGTTTCAGTGAAATTCAAACAGATTTGAAAGACTATATTTTACAGTGTGTACATTTTTCAATATAAACAATCAATTATTGTGAAATTCGAGTTTGTTAAATTAATTCACTCAGTGGTACTTCGAACGATAGCACCCGATTTGTATTATTTAATCATGATGTTTATGGTGATAAGAGGTGATTTTCTGCACGATCAAAATCACAGTCCAAGCTGAGAATTTCGCGTTTTGATTTAAACTCGAGGAACGGGTTTTGGAAAATTTTCAGAGAACCAGCTTTACGGTAAGTCAAAATTATATACATTTCAATATACAGAATTCATGACATTCTGTGCAATTTTAGAAGAGTATTTTCTGTTTTTACATAAAATCTGCCTCAAATACGCAAAAACACATATGAACTTCGAAATCTAAATTCCAAATTTCCAACTCAGGTCTTAGATCCCAAACTAACCCAATCAAAAATTTATCCAAACCTCCAAAACTTCAGCTTTTCTTCCATATAAAAAATTCACCTAATTCAAATTCGCCCACAAAATCTCAAAATGTCAAACAAAAGCTACCCACCAAAAAATGTCACTCATTCCTTTCTCCGTCCTCGCTACACATTACGAAAGGATCAAGTCATTGAACTGCACGAAGGTTAGGCTCCTTAAAAAAGTTGATCTTTTTTCCTTTGTATTCTACCGTAGAAAAAAAAAACGGTAGAAATGTCGCTGGTCAACTTCACCTTGCCGTATCAGTCGGCAACGCCTACGCCATTCTTCTACGGTGGACAAAACGGAGGACAACCGGCAGTGAACAACCTTCGTTTGAACGCCGTGCTTCCGGTTGCGCCTGCTCCGAATTTTAATGGACAGGAGTCCTTTCAAAATGAGCCTTACATACCGCCGGCCGCTTATCAACAGAAACAACAACAACACAGACAACGGACAGCGTTGAATCGACAAGCGAGTTCCAGCACTTTTGTTGAACAGTCCTCTTTCTCCTCCACTCAAGATACGCGGTATGCGAATTACAATCAGGACTTCAGGAGAACACAACCGAGACAACAACAACAACAGATGAGACCTCCGCAGAGTCAGGAAAATGGCCAGGATAGTTCGAGGACGTCCAGGATGCCGGAACAGGAGACTTATCCTGAGAGACCGAATGGGTAATTTTATTACTTTTGTTTACGGAGTTTACGGTTTTGTTTACGGAGTTTATTTTGCCAGTTTTGGAGGGAGTTTTGTGGAGTTTTGTGGAGTTTGATGTATGTGAGGGTCATGTACTGTTGATTTTGGGAATTTTTTCTGGGAATGTGAGAGCATTTTGTTTTTTTAGATGGTTAGTTGTTTTTGGGTTCGATAGTGGAACTATATGAATTTGGGAATTTTGGGAATTTTACTGTTAGTAGTATAATAACAGTATACTATAAGTAATAATATAGTATAGTAATAATAGTAGCAATAGTATAGTAATAACCCTTTGCGCTCGAGAGGTGACTCTCAGTCTCCATTTTATTTAATACAATAATTTGAAATAAGCATTTTTTAACTGATTCTATAATACGTGTGATGTATAAACATAGTGAAACAAAGAATACCGGAAATTATTAGTAGAGAAATAATAACCTCGAAAGAAATCATTTAACTTTTCAACTAAGTTTTAAAGTTGCTGTTTGCAAACAAATTACTTTCGAGTGCAAAGGGATAATAGTAGTAATAGTATAGCAATCAAAATATAATACAGTAATAGCATAGATGAATAATACTATAATAATGAAAATGTAGTAAAAAAAATGAAAATAATTAACACAACAGAATCAGTAGTGACACTGGCCGTCCCAGATTCAACAACCCAAATTGCTGACTTTCCGTCCAAGTCATCCACGAAGAAATACAGCAAAAAATCTCGTCCTTATTTCTCAACTTCGATTACTAGCAGTTATCACTAACCAGCGCCGGCAATGAACATGTAAATCAGCGTAACTAGCGTAGACAGTAATTTTGCTTTAATTCGAATGAAATGAAAGGTTACGGCCGTCACGCGCTACACCGATAACGAACACGCAGAGTTTCTTGAATTTATTATGTTACGCATTACGAACGTCGGTCGTTTTCACGTCAACTAATTAGCGTAGTAAGTTATTTAACCCGGCAACGCGATGTTATCGTTTTAAAGAAACGGCGAAAGCAGTTCGTCCGGTAACGTTAATTGCGCTCACAATTATTTATGTAACGATCAGCTGTACGGTTTTCTCGTTACGTGCCACGCATTCCTAATGAACTCCTGACGAGCATCTGACGTATTTATCCGCGAATTCTCATACCTATGAATGGACAATTATGTCATCGATCCGGCACAATACCGCTTCTTTCGTCGCATACTTTTCCAAACGTGTATTATTAACGTGCTATCGACCGTGTACGGAATACCACCTCTTTTTTTTCCTCTCTTTTTAGCCGAACGATCAATAATTATTATGAGAGAACCGTATTTAACGTCCGAAGAGAGGTACATCACTCTCGATGCTTTTTTTATTACCATTAAACAAGAATTACTACGGACATTTTTTACCTTTTACCGTTTCTTTCGCCGCTCCTGTGTTTACGCGTCGTTTATCATTTCGTTATTACGTAATGGGTTAATTAACATAGCGACTTTGCTTTGACGCGGTCGATGGTAGCGTGACAATGCGCGGTGACCGCCATTTTAAGGTTTATAGCGGAGTAGAGTACTGTAAGATGTAAACAATGCAACGTTGCTTTATTTTTATCTTTAAAATTGATCTACAAAGTTCTATTATTTTATTTTGATCAATTTAATCGATTTACAAAGTTCCATTATTTTATTTTGGTCTCTGTAGTTGATTTACAAAATTGTATTATTTTATTTTGATCCATTAAATTGATTTACAAAGGTTCAGTATTTTACTTTGGTCTCTGAAGTTGATCTACAAAGTTGTATTACTTTATTTTGATTCATAACATCATTTTACAAAGTTGCACTACTTTACTTTGATCTCTGAAGATGATCTACAAAGTTCAATTATTTTTTATTTGCCTCTGAAGTTGATCTTTAAAGTTGTATTATTTTATATTGATCTAGAAGGTTGATCTATAAAGTTGTATTACTTCATTTTGATTTATAAAATTGATCTACAAGGTTGTACTATTTTACTTTGATTTATGAGATTGATTGATTAAGTTCAATTATTTTTTATTGGCCTCTGAAGTTGATCTGTAACTTTGTATTATTTTATATTGATCTACAAGGTTGATTTACAGAGTTGTATTTTTTTATTTTCATTTTTGAAGTTGCTTACGAAGTTATATTATTATAACGTGATTTACGAAGTAGCTTATTTTAATTTTGCAAAATGAAATTTTTATTTTAACAAAGGTATACGAGAGTCAACGGAGGAAACGGCCCAGGGACAAAAACGTCGGTGCACGCTATTTTAGATTATGACGATGACTTCGATGATTATTACGACGAGGAACCTGACATACCAAGGGACGCCCATGTCACACCCATTCAAGGACCAATTTTTGTGAAGAATGGTTCGGTTCCGGTAGTGCCATTATACTCTTATCCTCAGTTAAATAACGGTAGCTTCGTACAAATTCCGGTAAGTCATCAACTGTATATTATTTATTTTAATCCCTTAATTTATGATTTATATTAACTTGTATGATAATCAATTATTGTAACGTTAATTTATTATTGTTAAGACAAGAGTGTTGAAATGTTAGGAATATTTTGAATATGATGGATTGATATTAAACTATACATACCGACGTATAAGGCACACTTAATTTGAAATTAAAATTAACCCCTTGCACTATGATTCATTTGTCAAGCATGTCAGTTGGAGCTACAATGTTAAAACAGATGAAGAAAGTTGAAATGTTATGACAATCTGGTATTGTGCAATCGTTGACTGTGCATATTATTGGACTCAAACTTCAAATTGAAATGGATTGAAAATTGTAGTAAAATTAATCATAGTTGCAGTATGAATGCGTCACGAATTATATTCATTAAAATAGTGCAAGATGAAGAGTGCAAGATAAAATAGAAAAATAAATGAATAAACGATACAATATAAATTAATATACACATTAACTTCTTTTGATTAGAAGCTACACAAACTTCCGCAAAATTAACAATACTTTTATAAATTTTATAATTTAACATTCTTCAAATAATGTAACATTCTAAACAAGTCAAATGACCGGTTTGTGTTATATTTAAAATTGAACTCGAAATTTAATCATAGTGAGAAAAGGTACACTCATCATATTTAAAAATATGAAATATATTTTGAAGGTTATGTGCGTCACGCATGCGTCACAGTATTATAAGAGGTTAATAATTTTTTTAAAGCAACAATGATCGCAAGAATAGTGTAACTTGTGAATTGTCGAGATAAATGAATTTGTTATGAATAGAAAGTATATTAATATTATAGATATATATGTACACGCCCAAATTACATATAGAGAATACATAAACAGATTTCGTCAAGTTTAAGCAGACGTTGCGACATTGCAATCTCGTTCACATTGAGGAACATTCAACACTTCTATAAGACAATTGCGATCTTAAAATGAAATCCGATTGTTCAAAGACAGGGATGGAATTTAGGGGTGTATTTATTAACTTTAACAATTTTTATCAGTTTTAAGTTTATGTATTTCAATCTTTATGCTTGTGAAGCACTCTAAATAATATAACGTAGTTGCATTAACAAAATAATATTAAAAAACGAAGAGATATAAAAAGGTGTATAAATATACCTATACAAAAGAAATATTACAAGAAAATTATTAAAAGAGAAACAGAGAGAAGTTATTGATTATGAGAGGATTTAAACTCGCTATTAGTTCAAGAATCCACCACTCGACAACCTTCTACAACTACTTTAAACATCCTTCAATATTAAACAATTAAATATTTAATATCTTTCCAAATTAATACAAAAATATTGCTCATGTAATTCAACTTTATTCAAAACTTGTATTTCGTATTATTTACAAAGATTAATAACAACTTAAAAAAAAGAACAAAAGTAATAGAAAATGAATTCATTATTTTATTCTTGAAAAATTTGACAATTTGAAGACATGAAAATATCTAGTTTATATGTATTTAAATTGTTCATATTAGGTTAATAATATTAGATCGAAATATTAAACTGAAATACTAGATTTAATATTAGATTAAAATATTAAACTGAAATACTAGATTTAATATTAGATTAAAATATTAGACTAAAATATTATATCAGATTAAAAATCCAAATTTAAATAACTCAACTTAAATATTTATCATCTAAAACATTATCAGTACCTACAATCTTCCAAACTTCAGAAACCTCAAATCTCGAAAAATTACAATCATCCAAAAGAAGAAATTACCTCAACAAAAAATCTCTTATACAATTTACAAAAATTATCTCCATAAGAATGTTCCGAAAAATGATTATTAGATCACCCAGTATATCATCGTCGTGACATTTCCCGGCTGCACCCATGACCCCGAATATCTTCCCTAGAATCTAGTAAACGTTCGTTCGGGTGCACGTACACTGCACCTGTCCAGATGTTTTGCTCGTGTGCCACTTAAATCTCTCTATCCGTTCATTAATCGTGAATTCTCGAATACACGAAAAGAATTCCTCACACGATATCGTCGCTGAGGTCGACCGGTGTACTCGTATTAAAATAACGATTCGATGATTCAGACACGAAAATTTTTCACGAAACGTCAGAGTTTTTTGTTTATCGTTAACGGAGATCGAATCGTGAGTTCGGAAACGATCTAGCCGATGTCCTCGATATGATCACTTCGTGACCACTATCTTGTAAAAAAAAAGAAAGTCAAGGATACAATATGGTTAACCTTCCCACAAGTTTGTAAAGTGTTTTCATGTTGTGGAACTTGGACGTTTCGAGAGTTTGCGAAAGGTTTTCCTCGATTGCGGTAATTGATATGGAGATATTTTTTTTGGCGGTTTTGGTGAGGTTATGTTTGTTTATTTGCGGTGAGATTGTGGAAGTTTTGGGAATTTGGGGATTTCTGGGATTTTAGGAGTTTTGGGGAATTTTAGGATTTGAGAATTTTTGGAGTTTTAGGGATTTGGGGAATTTAGGGGTTTTGAGGGGATTTGGGAGATTTGGAGGCTTTGGAGGATTTGGGGGATTGTGGGAGTTTTGGGATTTGGAAATTTTAGAATATGGAAGTTTTGGGATTTGGGTGTCTTGGAATTTGGGAATTTTGAGATTTGGAACTTTTGGGATTTGGAAGTTTTGGAATTTGGAAATCTTGGAATTTGGGAATCTTGGAATTTGGGAATCTTGGAATTTGGGAATTTTGGAATTTGGAACTTTTGAGATTTGGAAGTTTTGGGATTTGGGAATCTTGGAATTTGGAAATCTTGGAATTTGGGAATCTGGGAATTTGGAAATCTTGGAATTTGGAAATCTTGGAATTTGGGAATCTTGGAATTTGGAAATCTTGGAATTTGGGAATTTTGGAATTTGGGAATCTTGGAATTTAGAAATTTGAGAATTTTGGAATTTGGGAATCTTGGAATTTGGAAATCTTTGAATTTAGTAACCTTGGAATTTGGAAATCTTGGAATTTGGGAATTTTAGAATTTGTGAATGTGAAAATATGAGACTTTGGGAACTCAGAATTTTGAATTTCTGTGATTTGAGAATTTAAAAATTTGGGAATGTAAAGATTTAAAAATTTTGGAAATTTGAAAGTTCAAAAATTTTGGGGAATTAGAAATATAGAAGCTTGAGAATTTCACAAGTAGTTGTAACATACGTGTGAATGATAATATGGAAGGCAATCTTCGCATTCAATTCACGCGAGAGATTGCAATTGACTCGCGTGGACACACTGCATGATTCATTTCTGGCGGGCAATGCACCGTGTGTGTTGCTCATGCTCGTTCATATGAACCGTCTCGAGTGACTCAAGCCACTGAATGACGCCTACTGACTTTTCAATGGAGACACGTTCACAAGGAGATTATTGTAAACCCTCCATAGTAGGGATGGGCTTAGGACCATTCTTCATAGTAATTTCATTTGTCGTTACATAATAATTGAACAATTTTTTAATATGTCAATTTTCGAAGAGGTATTCAAATATGCAATTTTCGAGATTTCTAAATATATCAATTTTCAAATACCAAAATTTCCAAATCCCTAAATTTCTAGATCCCCAAATTTCCTAAATGACCATTATCTCAATCTTCTAAATCTCTAAATTGCTGAATTGCCAAATCCACAAATTCGCAACTTCCCAAATTTCCAAATTCGCAACTTCCCAAATTTCCAGAATTCCTAAATTCCAAAATTCCCAAATTCCCAAATTCTCAGAATTCCTAAATTCCAAAATTCCCAAATTCCCAAATTCTCAGAATTCCTAAATTCCAAAATTCCCAAATTCCCAAATTCTCAGAATTCCTAAATTCCAAAATTCCCAAATTCCCAAATTCTCAGAATTCCCAAATTCCCAAATTCCCAAATTTCCAAATCCCTAAATTCTTAAATCCCCAATTTTCCCAAATTTCCAAATCCCTAAATTCTTAAATCCCCAATTTTCCCAAATTTCCAAATCCCTAAATTCTTAAATCCCCAATTTTCCCAAATTTCCAAATCCCTAAATTCTTAAATCCCCAATTTTCCCAAATTTCCAAATCCCTAAATTCTTAAATCCCCAATTTTCCCAAATTTCCAAATCCCTAAATTCTTAAATCCCCAATTTTCCCAAATTTCCAAATCCCTAAATTCTTAAATCCCCAATTTTCCCAAATTTCCAAATCCCTAAATTCTTAAATCCCCAATTTTCCCAAATTTCCAAATCCCTAAATTCTTAAATCCCCAATTTTCCCAAATTTCCAAATCCCTAAATTCTTAAATCCCCAATTTTCCCAAATTTCCAAATCCCTAAATTCTTAAATCCCCAATTTTCCCAAATTTCCAAATCCCTAAATTCTTAAATCCCCAATTTTCCCAAATTCCCAAATTCCTAAATTCTTAAATCCCCAATTTTCCCAAATTCCCACCATCCCAACTTTCCATCCCTCTAAATTGCCAAATCTCCAAATCCACAAATCCCTAAATTCCCAAATTGCTTAGCTCTCTCTAAAGTCCATAATGAAGTAATACCTGACTGCACAAAAGAAAACAGAAGACACGACACTCGAGTTAAACATACTAAAGTACCTTTTTTTAGACACCCTGTATTTACTTTGTTTTAACTTACGCGTTGGCTGTCACGTTCGTCTTCCTGTAAAATAATTGTTTCCTCAATGGAAACGTCCTTGCGGTCGTTCGTAGGTGTTCCGATCACGTTGTTAAAGTATGTCTTCTACGGGGTGTTTCATTTAAATCTATCCACTCGTATATTTCTACAAATATTCATATTTCAACAGATATTTTTCACTCCTTAAAAGTAACTTACTCTTGAAAAGCATTTCAAACTATAATTTTCTGATTCATATAATTTCCAACAGATGAAGTTCAAACACTGATGTTGGATACAATGATACAGTGATATATTGATAATATAATAAAATAATACAATAGTTCAATAATATAATAATATAATAATACAACAATACAATAGTATTATATAATAGTGTAACTTGAAGTATACGTTCAAAAATTACGTATGTATGATAGATACACGAAAATGGAACACCCTGTACAGTTATTGCCATTAAGATCATAAACGGCATCGAGCACGAGGACGCGTAGGCCACGTTTACCATACTTGCAAAATACTTGCAAGTCTAACATCTTATCGTACGTCTATTGCGTAGGTATGAATGGACCCTGAAGGTATCATTTTATTTCCATCGATACATTACACGCGTTCGTCTAATTGCTCACTGTTATATGAACCTACTGTTTTATGAACTATCTGCGTTGGAGAAAAAACATTCATTGTTTGAGAATTTTAGGAATTTTAGGGACGTTAGGAAATTTAGGGATATGTAAATTTTAGGATTTTTGGGGATTCTGAGAATTTGGGGAATTTGGGAATTTGGGAATTTGAGAATTTAGGAATTTGGGAATTTGGGAATTTGGGAATTCTGAGAATTTGGGAATTTGGGAATTTTGGAATTTAGGAATTCTGAGAATTTGGGAATTTGGGAATTTTGGAATTTAGGAATTCTGAGAATTTGGGAATTTGGGAATTTTGGAATTTAGGAATTCTGAGAATTTGGGAATTTGGGAATTTTGGAATTTAGGAATTCTGAGAATTTGGGAATTTGGGAATTTTGGAATTTAGGAATTCTGAGAGGAATTTGGGAATTTGGAAATTTGGGAATTTGGGAATTTGGGAATTTGGAAATTTGGGAATTTGGGAATTTGGGAATTTGGAAATTTGGGAATTTGGGAATTTGGGAATTTGGAAATTTGGGAATTTGGGAATTTGGGAATTTGGAAATTTGGGAATTTGGGAATTTGGGAATTTGGAAATTTGGGAATTTGGGAATTTGGGAATTTGGAAATTTGGGAATTTGGGAATTTGGGAATTTGGAAATTTGGGAATTTGGGAATTTGGGAATTTGGAAATTTGGGAATTTGGGAATTTGGGAATTTGGAAATTTGGGAATTTGGGAATTTGGGAATTTGGAAATTTGGGAATTTGGGAATTTGGGAATTTGGGAATTTGGGAATTTGGGAATTTGGGAATTTGGGAATTTGGGAATTTGGGAATTTGGGAATTTGGGAATTTGGGAATTTGGGAATTTGGGAATTTGGGAATTTGGGAATTTGGGAATTTGGGAATTTGGGAATTTGGGAATTTGGGAATTTGGGAATTTGGGAATTTGGGAATTTGGGAATTTGGGAATTTGGGAATTTGGGAATTTGGGAATTTGGGAATTTGGGAATTCTGAGAATTTGGGAATTTGGGAATTTTGGAATTTAGGAATTCTGAGAATTTGGGAATTTGAGAATTTAGGAATTTGGGCATTTGAGAATTTAGGAATTTGGGAATTTGGAAATTCTGAGAATTTGGGAATTTGGGAATTTGGGAATTTGGGAATTTGGAAATTTGGGAATTTGGGAATTTTAAGATTTGAGAATTTTGGAGTTTTGGAAATTGAGAATGTTGGGATTAGAGAATTTTGAAATTTGGGAACTTTGGAATTTGAAAATTTTGGGATCTGTAATATGGGAATTGGAAATGTTGAGATTTAGGAATTTTGAAATTTGATAATTTTCATATTTGTAAATTTATAAGTTAATAATCTTCTTAATTTATCAATTTGCAAATTCATAAAACATAATTTTGATACACATGCTATAACAATAAAGCTCAATTCTGTTACAGATACTTTGGACTGCCCTTTCAGTCGCCCTGGGCGTGGAACTAAGGGGTGATTTGGTACGTGGTGTACCATGTATTAAAAAATATCATCAGCTGTTCTGTCCAACTGCTGGAAATACATACCCAATGTAATAATTGTAACAGTACTCTAATCATATTTTTATTATTTAACGTCCGCTTTTTACCATATGTAAATAATCTACTACATAACATCAAGTTTCAAATAAACCTCACACTCTTCTCACCACTCAAACTTTTCAAATCATTAAACAAATTTGAAGAAAATTTAATTTAGATTTATTTAGTTTTCTCGTAACAACAGATTTTTAATTTTAATTTGAAATTTATTTTCAAATCATTAAACAAATTCGAATAAAATTTAATGTACATTTATTTATTCTTCATATAATTGAAATTTCTTAATTCAAAATTTATTTCTTAATTCTTCAACGCTTCATCAAACTACTTATTTATTATACTTCATTACACATTCAAATCATACAATAAAATTACAAATCTAACATTTATTACATAATACCATAAATTAAGATTATACACGCAGCCTAGAAAAGATATTCCGTTTTCCTTTCATACATTCACCATCCAACCTGTTATTTTTAATAGCCACACAACCTGACTCTAAGTTAATAAAAACTTAGGTTAAGAAAATATTTCTGAGAACGCTTACACAATAAAGTAAAAATGTCTCGTTATCTCGGAAGCATAAAACAAGTTAATTAGCGTTGAACAATATCTTTGAATAAGATAAAATGCAAAACGTCGATAATCGAAGGATAAAACAGGCAGACTTATATAACCTTCGAAAAGAAAAAAGAACCATCTCGTTTATCGAATGCGGCTACTGTTGAAACGGAAAAAAGAATATGAACCTTTATCAGCCTCCGTAAAATTCAGGAGCCAGTCGCTTCGATGTACGGGTGTCAACCCATAAGTTGGCGCGTGAGAGGCAATTATGGTAGTAACTTGAGGATGTAGGATGGTATCGTACGGACGTAGGTTTGGAGATGTATTTGGGGACGTAGGTTTGGGGATGTATTTGGGTATGTAGCTATTTGGGAATGTATTTAAGGACGTAGCTCTTTGGGGATGTGGAAACTGGGGGTTGTGAGAATTTGAGGATATAGCGATTTGGGGATATGGGAATTTAGGGATGTAGGAATTTGGGGATGTATGAATTCAGGAATGTAGCAATTTGGGGATGTAACAATTTGGGGATGTGAGAATTTGGGAATGTAGGCATTTGGGGTTGTGGGAATTTGGGAATGTGAGAATTTAGAAATGTAGGAATTTGGGGATATGGGAATTTGGGGATGTGGGAATTTGGGGACGTGGAAATTTGGGAATGTGGGAATTCGGGGACGTGGCAATTTGGGGATGTGGGAATTTGGGGATGTGGGAATTCGGGGACGTGGCAATTTGGGGATGTGGGAATTTAGGGACGTGAAAATTTGGGGATGTGGGAATTTGGGGACGTGGAAATTTCGCAATGTGGAAATTTGAGGACGTGGAAATTCGGGGATGTGGGAATTTGGGGACGTGGCAATTTGGGGACGTAGCAACTTGGGGACGTAGCAATTTGGCAACGTAGCAATTTGGGGATGTAGCAAACTGTAGTACCGTATAACCTACTCATACTATAAAGCTACCTCTCATCAAACTTCTCTAATCGACAGATTTTTCTTAAATATCTAATCCGCCGTCATAAATCGAAAAACATAAAATCTCAAGAATATAAAACTGCAGAAATTCAGAAATCTAATAATTCAGTACTAATATAAAAATTTTGATATGTGCTAAACGCCCGTCATATGCTAAAGACTCTCCACGCGCCAACTAGCAGGTTGACATCGGTAAATCAGACTCGAAATTCTAGTTTACAAGGTTGCTTACATTTTGATTGAATACGTGACGATCGACAGGTAATAAAATAGACGTAATAAAATTGTTGCAGAGAGCGGATAGAACGTTTTATCGACGAGAATAAAGCGCTGATGAAAAGGATGTATGGAGATTTCGAGATGAATTCGGGATACGGATCGTCTAGTAGGGAACCCGGTCATCGAACACTGAAGAGAAGAAAAACCAGGGAAGCGACTAACCATGACATTCCAGATGGTGGACCTAGATTTCAGGACGATTTGGATGTAGAGATCCAGGCTAATGGAGAGTCGTTTTTCGGTAATGTCAGGAGAACCAGGAATCCTAGACAGTCTTCTGAGAAGAATCGAAACGACAGTGGCAGGTATGTATATTTTATATCATCGTTACGTAAACTTGGTAGATTGATGGATTGGTGTATTGGTGCATTGGTGGATTGGTGGATTGGTGGATTGGTGGATTGGTGGATTGGTGGATTGGTAGATTGGTAGATTGGTAGATTGGTAGATTGGTAGATTGGTAGATTGGTAAATTGGTAAATTGATGGATTGGTAGATTGGTAGATTGGTGGATTGGTGGATTGGTGGATTGGTAGATTGGTAGATTGGTAGATTAGTAGATTGATGGATTGGTAGATTGGTAGATTGGTAAGTTGATGGATTGGTGGATTGGTAGATTGGTAGATTGGTAAATTGGTAGATTGGTAGATTGGTAGATTGGTAGATTGGTAGATTGGTAAATTGGTAAATTGATGGATTGGTAGATTGGTAGATTGGTAGATTAATAGATTGGTAAATTGGTAAATTGGTAAATTGGTAGATTGGTAGATTGGTAGATTGATGGATTGGTAGATTGATAGATTGGCAGATTTGTACATTTTCAATTTTCAATGCGTGTTAATTTTGGCACGTGGTAATCTATCACATAATAATCTGATGTCTAGTTATCGAACGTGTAGTAATCTATCGCGTGGTAATCTAACAGTTAATAATCTAACACATGGTAATCTATCGCATAATAATCTGACGTCTAGTTATCGAACGTGTACTAAGCTATCGCGTAGTAATCTAACGGTTAATAACCTAATACATAGTAATCTGTCACACAATAATCTGACATCTAGTTATCGAACGTGTAGTAATCTATCGCGTGGTAATCTATTAATAATCAAAAAATAACCCACCGCGTAATAAGCTAACATCCAATTATCGAACGAGTAGTAATCTATCGTGCGGTAATCTATCACACTAGAATCCTACTGCAAGTGATTAAAATATACATATTCAAATCCTCATTCAGAAATCCTGGGAGCAAAGTTTAATTTAATATAAATACAAAAACCTTCAAAAAACGCGGAAATATAAAAACAAAGTTATATAATGTTTCAGAATCGACGCGTGCGAATCTAAAGTAGAAATAGTGACGCCATATTGGGCCAGCAACAGCGCCGGAAAAGTTCGCGCCATCGTGAATACGCAGCACTTCGAGCAAGCCATTCATCAAGAAGTTTGCTCGTAAGTTACTTCGATTTCCGATATGTACAACCATCCCGTTTCAGGATCGTCAGCTAACAAAATGGCGATGTTTTTTTTTTAGGAAAACTCAAACAAATCGTTGCACGGGAGATTGCGGTTGCGAACAGAAATACAAATGGCACCGATTACTCGCCTACGATCCCGATAATGATTGCAAAGGAATCTTCATGGACTGGTTTCTGTTTCCATCGTGCTGTGTTTGCAGATGCGATCCGCCTGGTCACAAATTCACTGCATCCAATAATCGAAATTAGATCTTGTGCTATAGATTTTCTGTGCTAGGATAAAAATGGCGGAGAGAGTTTTATTTCTTCCTTGGAAGAAGTTGTAAATTAACACATTGATGCACTTTCGAGATCAGGCGAAATGAAGTTTGCAACCGAATGCTGGCTGATCAGATTATTTTTTTAAGTGCCAATTAAATTTCGAAGAGTTCAGATTTTTCTGAGGAATCACATTTTGTTAATTTAATAATAAAGTTGACAAATCTGATTTTGGAAGATTTTCTGATTTTCGAAAATCTGATTTTCTGACTTTATGTTATTTAGCAGTAATTAAAAAATTATTTTTAATATTATAAGCAAGTTGAACTAGTTATGACACAATTGTTTTTGCTGTTAAAACGCAACTGAGAACCTTCTTCCACTTTCTCTTCATAAGAAGAGAATTCTTTTCGAAATTTAATTATCATTTGAAAACAAAATCGTCGAAATTGGATGAAAAATATAAATTCTGAAAATTGACTCATTTACTTTTTTACTCTACCGTGAATTTAATAGTTTTACTTTTTAAAACACAGTCGAACGCGTTGCTTCGCCGCCATCTTGGATGCCTGCAGCATCAAACTTCTCAAACGTGACAAAGTGCTAATAGAATTATAATTCTAGATTTATAATACTACGAATACTGTAAAATTATTGAATTTTTCATTGCAAATAGTATTCGAAGTGCTATTAAACTGTTTTACTTATTTTTTAATTGAATTGCAAATCTAAGGATGATGCAATATCACACAAGAGTTGATATTACCTTTTGTTATAAATCGTGTTTGATTGCCGTAAGATCTATGTAAATGAATCGGACTTCGTTACATTTATTACGTAAGTCATTTGTAATAGCAACACGATTTTATCGTGACACGTTTTTTATCGTTTTAATTAATTAAGCTTTTCGTCTTAGTCAGTATGAGGTATTAGCCTTTGTTGCATATAAAATGGCTGGTTTTAAAACGTGGCGAGATCTGATTACATTTGATTTATGTACCAGTTTGAAGGTTAACTGTGCTATAAAGACAGTGAGGCGATATACGTAAATTATTTGACAGCCTAATATATGACATTCAATTTTTATTTGTATTAAAATTAAAATAATTAATAATTTTTTAAATGATTGATATAATAAATATAATAAATATCAACTACTTAAAATATTATTAATCACTTTTATTTTAATACAAATGAAGTTTGAATGTCATATACTAAACTGCCAAATAATTTACGTATATCGCCGTATAAAAAAGATACGAAAAAGATAAGATTTTCAGTTTGTCAATAGCTTGACATTTCATTTGATATGCAACAACTATGCCATTTTCTTAATACGTTAATTATTAAGAACACCGTACAATAATACAAATAATATATATTAGTAATTAAAATTGTTTCAACATTAGAATAAGCGCAAGCTGCGGATGCTGTTATAAAAATGTATTATATCATTCAGCATTACTTTCTTTTTTTCTTCACTTTATAGGTTAAGATTGCATTATCATTATTGACATTTCTGTTTTTGTAAAATAAAGATTATTGCGTATATCACCGTAAATTGACTCATCATTTTAATTATAAATAATATAAAAAAATATTTTTAAACATTTGTCAATTTTATAGGATTTATCGTGTTATTAAATTTTTATTAGAAATATTAAAAAGTTTGAGGTTAGTTTTCATGCTTCCAAAGTTATAGTACAGTTAGTAATTATATTCTTATTATTTATTTAACATCTCTAAAAATATATTCTACTACAAAAGTAGGTGTAAAACCGAGGATTAAAAATGTCAGATGCAATTTTCCATACTGAGTTTAATAATTTCTACATTTTACAGTAACATAACGCCTAATCAAAAATTTCCTAGCCAATCTCTAAACATTCATTTCATAAACAATTTAATCGATACAATTTCCAGAAGTACAAAAAGCTAACGTATCTTCCGCTAACAGCGAAGAAAGAATAATAAAATATTATTCTATTAATTGGACGGATACCTGATAAGTTATATTTTCTTCTCGTCTTTTTTTGTTTTTCTAAAAAGAAACGACACGAGACACGAAAGTAGTAGAAAAAGAAGATATAAAAAGTGTGCAGATAAAAAAGAGAAGCGTGTAATTATATTAGATACGCGTCTGTTAATTGCTATAGAGTTCTAATTAAATCGTGCGTGACACCACGGACTCGTTCCCTTAATCAAATAATATCGAATGAACAATTTTCATTTATTGTACAACCACGTAGAACACATCAAATCTATATACAGATGTTATACAAAAATAACGTCGTAAATCATTAAATAAACTATTAAATTAGTACGTTGACGCGACTACAGTGACGTGTATCAAACGATCTATTTAAAACACTAACAAGGTACATCTAACTATAAAACACTAACGAGCTTGTACCAATCATGCAGAACCATTATAATAAGATGTACTGATACAACGAAAATTACTGGTACGTTGGAGGACGGGGGATCTAGGGAATTTTGCGATATAGGAAAAGGTTGGAACTTTTGTCCTTATAGTGAATTATAATGGAATTGGAAAATTTAGAATTTTTTTAAATTTGGGGAATTTTGCAACTTTGGAAATTTTAGAATTTTGGAATTTTCGGGGTATTAGGGATTTTGGGAATTTGGGAATTTTGGAATTTGGGAATTTGGGAATTTGGGAATTTGGGGATTTTGGGATTTGGGAATTTTGGAATTTGAGAAATTTCGAAACTTTGAGTCTTGGAATTTTAGGAATTTTGGGAATTTGGAAATTCTGGAATTTTAGAATTTTGGGATTTGAGAGTTTTGAAATTTGGGTATTTGGGAATTTGGGAAATTGTGGAACTTTGAGAATTTTTGAATTTTGGGAATTTTGAGAATTTTGGGAATTTTGGGAATTTTGGAAATTTTGGGAATTTGGAAATTCTGGAATTTTAGAATTTTAGAATTTTGGAATTTTGGGATTTGAGAGTTTTGAAATTTGGGAATTTGGGAATTTGGGAATTTGGGAAATTGTGGAACTTTGAGAATTTTTGAATTTTGGGAATTTTGAGAATTTTGGGAATTTTGGGAATTTTGGAAATTTTGGGAATTTGGAAATTCTGGAATTTTAGAATTTTGGAATTTTGAATTCTGGAATTTTAGAATTTTGGAATTTTGGAATTTGAGAATTTTGAAATTTGGGAATTTGGGAATTTGGGAATTTGGGAAATTTTTGAACTTTGAGAATTTTGGAATTTTGGGAATTTTGGAATTTCGAAATTTTGGGATTTTACAAGTTTGGAATTTTTAAATTTATGGAATGCTGGAATTTTGGGAATTTTGGCAATTTCGAAATTTTGGAATTCAGAAATTCAAAAATTCAAAATTTTAATTCACAAATGTCGAAATTCCACAATTCACAAACTCGAAAATATACAAATTTGAAAACGCAACTTGTAAGTTTAGCAATTCCAAAATTTCCCCTAGATAAACCCAGTCCCGCACCACACGTCATAATTCTGTAGCAACCATATAGATCAAACATTAACAAACAATAACATCGTTGAACTTGCAAAGAAATAAAAAATTCACGCTTACGACGATTCGAATACTTTTCTTTTCCACCTTCGAAACGGTTATTTAAAGAATCATCGTTCTTATACGATAATAATATTTTCAAGGTATTAAACAATGTCGTGTTTCGATTGAATATAACGATAACCGATAACTGCCATGGTAAAGACGAACAGAGGTTTCATGATTGATGCATTCGTTGCAGAATTGCAGAGATCGGTGCTGCAAATGTGGCAGGATTCAATTACATTTCGACTTGAAATTGCCATTGCGCTGCAGGGACCGTCATGGATATCTGCCTCGTCGACGTTTGGAGTCGAGCATTGACGTATCACTACTCGTGCGCCGTTTTCTGAAAAAGAACATTTAAAAGAATATTGGAACATTGGGATACATGGAGCATACATTGCAAGTTCATGTAAATTAATATAATAATAGGGTATATGCTAACTCAAAGTTTCATATTCAAAAGTTTTAAAGTCCTAAATGTTTCAAAAGTCCCAAAAGTCCCAAAGTTTCAAAGTCCCAAAATAGCAAAATCCTAAAAGTCCCAATACTCCCAAAGTCTCGAAGTCATAGAATTTCCAAAGGTCCCAAAAGTTCCAAAACTCTCAAAGACCTAAAAGTTCAATAAGTCCCAAAACTTCCAAAGTCCCAAAGTCCTAAAATTCCCAAAACTCTCAAAGTGCAAAAAGTTCAAAACCTCTCAAAACTTTCAATGTCTCAGAAGTCCCAAAAATCGCAAAACTTCCGAAGTCCCAAAATCCTAAAAGTCCCAAAACTCTCAAAGTCCCAAAGTTTCAAAGTCCCAGAAGTTCTAAAAATTCCAAAACTCCCAAAATCCCAAAGTCCCAAAATCCTAGAAGTCCCAAAACTCCCAAAGTCCCAAGAATCCCAAAGTGCCAAAGTTTTAGAAGTCCCAAAAGTCTCAAAACTCCCAAAGTCCCAAGAATCCCAAAGTGCCAAAGTTCTAGAAGTCCCAAAAGTCCCAAAATCCTAGAAGTCCCAAAAGTCTCAAGACTCCCAAAAGTCCCAAAACTCCCAAAACTCCCAAAAGTCCCAAAATCTCAAAATCCCAAAATCCCAAAATCCCAAAGTCCCAAAGTCCCAAAACTCCCAAAATCCCAAAATCCCAAAATCCCAAAGTCCCAAAACTCCCAAAACTCCCAAAAGTCCCAAAAGTCCCAAAACTCCCAAAACTCCCAAAAGTCCCAAAATCCCAAAAGTCCCAATATCCCAAAATCCCAAAATCCCAAAGTCCCAAAACTCCCAAAATCCCAAACCCTACCCTATGTACTGCCTAAAAATCTACCCAAAAGAACCCACATCACAAAAACTAAATAAACCTAGAATTCCCCACTACCTAAGTCCCCCACCCCAGTCCAAGACAATTAACAATGCTTCATCGATAAAAATACAAATCAACCTTAGCACCCAACGTTAAATTACGCAGTAAACCATTGTTCAACCATGAACACATAAACGCACCCACAAAGAAAAATATAAATCTGAACACACGTATTTCCACACGTATTTAAACAATTATGAATATGATACGCGAATGACGTGTCGAACGAATATAAATGATGGCCAATTTCGCGTCGTTCTCGTAACGCAACGCGGTATTTACTCCGAAACGGATGTAGTAACTTCTGTCTGCAATTTCCTATCCATGCGAAATATCTTTTTTTTCTGTATAGGTATTGGAACGATGCATTGTTGAGTGATCTAACGTAACAGGTTGTGTAACGATGATTCAAAGCGTACCGAGAATTACGGTTTTATATGCGAGTAAATCTACGTTTCTTCGTGAAACAGTTTTGCGCGGCGGGTTTCCTAAAGAGGAAATTGAAACGCCATTTGTGGCCGTCATGAAACACGGTCAAGGAAGATTTCTAGTAGACCGAAGAACTGTTTTTTAGCGGAGAGATAAATAGGACGTGAAATGATTTCATGAACAAATTAGGTGCAGAGCTTGGTACAATTGTATGACAATATTTCTGGTTAATTGAAGATACTAGGTCAAGTTCACATTTGATACTAACTAAGCCAGTAACATACATTATAATATTCTGTGTGTTGTTAGACATACATATATGTATATAATATATGTAGAAATGCATAATGTGCTATGTAGATATTGTATAAAAATCTATATAGCTACTTGATGATTGCAAAGTTGATGGGATTCATTTGTAGGACAATTTAGGTGCTCGATTTTAAAGGACACTTTACAAGTATTTTCTTCTGAAACATTTGATGAAATTCAAATTGCTTTTTATACCATAGCAATAACATATGTGAGACATTAGAATGCATCACAAAGTACTTGGGTTGATTCCACCTGAATTTTTAACCTAAGGTAGGAAGACACACGAGGTTGTGCCATTTTGACTGACACTATGTCCTTGCAGTTATTGTTTCCTTCTAAAATATTCCATAAAATTTGGAGTAGTTTTCATGTGGAAATAAGAAGTAACACAGATGGAATATTAGTGTGCGTATTATAAAATTGTAAGGTTGATTTAAGTTGAATTTTTAACCTAAGGTAGGAAGGCACATGAGGTACACCATTTTGACTGACACTATGTCCTTGCAGTTATTGTTTCCTTCTAAAATATTCCATAAAATTTAGAGTAGTTTTCATGTGGAAATAAGAAGTAACACAGATGGAATATTAGTGTGCGTATTATAAAGTTGTAAAGTTGATTTAAGTTGAATTTTTAACCCAAAGGAAGATACAGTGTATCATAACTGACAGTACATGTCCTTGCAGTTATTGTTTCCTTCTGAAATATTTCATAAAAGTTCATCTACTTTTTATACAACAGCCAGAAATAACGTATATGAATTATTAGAACATGTGTTACAAAGTTATTACATTGAAGTTGAATTTTTAAGAAAAAGTGAAAGGGCAAGTTTAAGATTGTAGCAGACACCGGCTAATCCAAGAACAACCCACATTTTATGCAAATTTGTATAATCTTCCGGTTGCAATGCGTGCACGCGTATATTCGTCGATTAATCCGAGAATTCTAGTCACGTTAATACGATTAACCTTAATATTCATGATTCTATAGTGAGTTTTCTCCGACTCGGGTGTGGTTTTGGCCTCGGCTACGTGTAATTATCGCAATTGTGGTACATGAGCACACCGCCGTGACTCACGGACACAATATGGTATACACACAGTTACGATCAACTGGAACACGATCATCATCAAGTTATTTTACGATTCCAAGCAACGTTCTAATGCGTCATTGTGCGTAAAAACGTCTCTCGTATAATCCAATAACGGATATTGTTGAAAATTTGTGCTCATTAAATGGATTCATCTTGGGCTCATCATTCTTTTACTTCTTTGGGTCGCCATGTTTGAAGGGGTACCCTTTGCAACGTGTTGCGAATATTTAAACGTAAATTAATTAAATAGAAAATGAGACGCAATTTTTATATGAAATATATTTTAGAATATTTTAGATAGAAAATAAAATATATACTATTTAGAACAATTAAGATATTATTACACACTATCAAAGCTAATAAAGTATATGAGAAAATATATTAAGACAACTTAAACAATTTAAGAAAACATGTAAGACAATTTATAAATATGTTAAAAATTGCTTCATGTAAAACAATTAGCATCATAATTTATTTTAGAAAAGTTCATTTTAAAATTTTCATACCTAAATTTGAATATTTAATTTGAAATGAGAAATTTGTAATGTTACATTTGAAACTTGAAATTTGAAACTTGCAATGTGAAATATGAAATTGAAAATTCAGAACTTGTTACTTGAAATATAAAATTGAGAATTTAGAACTTGTTACTTGAAATGTGAAATTTTAAATTAAAAATTTGAAAATTGAATTTTATAAAATTTTGTGTATTTTGTATATATGAAAAAGGTTGTATGAAATTGATAATAATTGTTGATAAAATTTGTTACCTCTCTTCACAATTTTTCGGCATATGGGCTTGGTAGATTCATAAGGACCAGCATCGCAAGTTTTCGCATGAAACATAGCGTGATGCTCGGTGACATTCATTGGATCACCACACATTGCGTTCATGTTGGAAGCACAATCCCAACATTGTAAGGCTAAAGCTGTTGAATACATTACAGAATATGAAATAAGTAAACAGATATTTTAAAGACGTTGACAGTGTTTATAGTAATATTGGATGATTTTGTGTATGATTAATATTAATTATAATAATTGTACTGAAATTGTGTTTAGTATTATTGATATTAAATGTGATTGATTGTAAGAGAAATTTAATTGATGTTGTTAATGTGATCAATATTAACGTATGTAATATTTAATCCTAATATTGTTAATACTGATATATTTCACATATTATGATATTAAAATTATTAATATAAATATATGTATAATATGTTAACTATAAATTACTGTCAACTATGAACAGTTGATAATATTAAATAATATAATTAATCATATTGAATAAATATAAATAGTTATGTTAATTAATAACATGACAAATAATGTTAAATAATAATTAATCTCTAACTTGTAACATGAGGTCCAACCCCAAAAATTTTTTACTATTTTGCAAAAATATAATTTGATATAATTTGTCTTAAAATTAAATGATTGTAGTATTAATTATAATAAATCCATTTAAAAAATTAATAATACTAAATAAACACATAATACAATTCATAAACCTTAAATCAATTAAACTTTCAATGCTCAAATTAAACTGACCGATAAAACAAAATTAACAAAATAATAACTCGATTGAAATTCATTAAATTAACAGAATCAATGCAATTGTAATTTATACACAAAACATTATTAACATGTTGTTTTGAAATTTCTGAAAAGTGACTCATTCTGTTCTTTTTGCTATGCGTGATGGAAATCAATCAAAAAAGAATTATTACGTAACAATTTACCTTACATCACTAAGGCATTTACGTAGCATGCTCTTGGAATTAAATTTACGTAGCGTGCACTTAGAATTAAATTTCGTACTAACAACTTTTAAATATTTTATGAAAACGAATTATTAAATATTATTTCCTTTGACTTTTTTAAATGTTATTTTGCATTAAACGTATCTCAAAATTTTGGGACTATTCAGTTTTGTTATTATTTGTATTTTTCATTTGTTATTTCTTGTAAAATATTTTGTAAAAATATCTCAGAATTTCTAAACAATTCAGTCTTGTTATTATTTTTCATTTATTTGCTGTTAAATTATCTTGTTAACATATCTTAAAATTTCGAAACAATTCAGTCTTATTACTACTTTTATTAATTATTTTTTATTTCTCATCAAATTATATTGTAATTGTATTTATTCATATTTTACCCTCTTAATTTTATTTCTTGAATTTCTTCAAAATTTTTAATTTTAATTATAGTCATTCAAAATGGCTAATTAAATAAAAATGTAATTACTATTAATTTACATAGGATTAAAATTACTATTGGCAAGATTAAAATTGCTGTCAATTTATATAAGATTAAAATTACTATTGGCAAGATTAAAATTCCCATTAATTTATATAACATTAAAATCAGTATTTACATAAAATTCAAACTGATAGCTTCCATAAATCACAACTGACATTAAAATTAAAACCAATACTAACTATGCAAGATTAAAATAACTATTACTGTAAATAATATAAAAATTGCTATCAGTTAACCCTCTGCACTAAACCATCCCCACAACATTTTAAACCAAAACCAAAATTTACTAAATACTATTTTTGCATCTACTACAATATTATCTAATACTAATACTATATTATCTGTCAAACCTTAACATCTTAAATACTCACCTGATCGCGCAAGAACGACCAAACCAAAGAAAACCAATGCCCACGCCGATCGGGGGTACATCTTGCCGTACTAAAATTTTCAGTCCCCAAAAATTCAATCGTTCAACACGAATCCGTAGTTCGATCGGAGACTATAACCACGTGGTTCCAGGAGATGAAGAGAAACTTGCTAGCGTCGCGGAACGTGTTCACTGTGATACTGAACGGGCAACACCCCCCTTTTTGCTGAAAACGCGTGCACGATCTCTACCCTCACTACTGGCCCACGTTTCTCCTACTTCTTAGGGCACACGGCCAGAACGGATCAACGTAATAACGTCTCGTATACCTAATAACCCTGTAACCTCACAGTGGACGAGAGACAAGTGCGAGGAAGTAGGAGTCAAGAGCAAACAACCAAAGGAGGTCTTTAAGAGAACGCAACAAGCGAAACAGTAATTATGGTTTAGCGACGGAGGAGAAAAGCAACGGAGAAGAACTTACGGAGACAAAGAATCAGAAAGAGAGACGGAAGTCGCTGAAGGCCCTCATTGGACTCATTAGGACAATTACGGGACCCGTTGAATGCTCGGGGGTCTTTCGAGGTTTATGTAGGAACTGCTCGTTGTAAACTTCAGTTTAGATATTCAATTTTTTCTATAAATCTTTTCAAACTTAATAAATTTCATTTTTAATGATTTTTGTTATAAATATTTAGCGTTTTAAATTTACTAAGATTTAAGTTCTCAAATTGATTAAAATCTATATTGTCAAATTTTCAAATTTCCAAACACTCAAATTTATATATTTGCTAATGTACAAATTTTCAAGTTCTGAAACTAAATTTTTAATTTACTTGCACACAAATTTTCAAATTTACCAACATTCAAATTTGAAATTGACTAAGATCTAAATTTTCGAACTAGCAAACGTCCAAATTTCCAAAAACCACATCCCCCAAAACTTTCAACTTCTTTCAACTCAAATGTGGCGTATGCAAATTCTCCAAATCACTCAACTTTCTAAACTCGCAGTTTATTGCAAATTTATTACATGGACAAATATCACAATTGTCCACGAAAAGCAAGAAAAATATTTTCGCAACAAAAACAAAGCGAAACGTTTTAATCTGCGAAAGAAAAGAGGATAATTGGCCGGAAAAGGCTGTTGACTTTCAAGCTGGAAATTAAGTGAGTTTATGAATGAACGGGGAGGCAGTGTATTCGATATCGTCCTTTGTATCGATGGTGGTGAGTTCTGTGACTAATACTCGTAGCAGCGTGTAGATATGAGTGTACACATATTTACGTACACAAACATCTGGTCGAGGAGAAGGGGTCAAATTGCCGAGTCAATTTGGTAATGTCTCGCGGGGTTAACTGGTCTCCTGACCCATGACAAGTCTTCTTTAACAAGTCGGCAAGCTCACTTTGCAATCCTGACTTTAGTCATCCATATTCACGTTACATATGAATTGTGATTCGATGAATTGGGGATAAGGGTTCTTGTAAAATCTTCTTCTATACATTCTTTTAGTATAGTTCTTCTATGGAAGAATGTCTTGTATTATTTCTTGTATAAATAATATTATGAAATCTTTAAAAAGGTTGAGGTTGTCAAGGACGATATTGTTAATATTTATTGTTGCATGTTTATTTTTTGACAAAATATGTTTTTGTTAAATTAAGGTAATACATATTTAATTTTTGACAGTGCCATTATAATCCTTGAAGTACAAATTTATAAACAACAAATATTTAATATGTTGACTATATATAAATCTACATAATGCACATTGTCAAATAAATCTAGTATACATACATATCATATGTACATATGGTACACATATGGTACACGTACATACGGTACATCACTATACTATACATATATCATCGAACAAACATAAACAATTCGAATCAAATAATTCAACACATAAATACATTAAAAATAATCCACCAAAAATTCACAAGAAAATACATAAAATTGCTATCTATTAATTTACCAATATAATTATCAATGAAAACAAGTATCATGTATGTTCTTCGACGTAAAATATGGCAAACATGTTATTTGATGTACAGTAACAGAAAAACTAAGGACAAATAGACTAGCAAACTATGTGGAATAAATAAATAAAGAGATTGTTGGCTATTACAAGCGTAATCGTTACAAAACGAGCACACGATGTTGGATTCCGGAAAATATTTCTCGTGTTTGCAGTATCCGTCAATTTCACGTGATGGCACGCAACCACGTACCGTCACCAGGATGTCCCTATCTGTATCATCGAGAAAAATATTTCTTTCATGAATAAACATTGTATTACATTTATACTTGTTTGGTTTAATTAAAATTCCTATTAAATTTCTGTTTTTTTTTTAAAGAAATCTGTGTTGCAATAAAGATACTTTGCAGCTAATGAAATGTACATAGAAACATAGAAACATACTTTGTATTTCTTGAATAAATTGTACACATTTTTGTAATAAATATTTAGAACTAGTTTAACAATTTAGCAGCTGTGCAATTATGTTGTTTGAATCATGGATAGAATAATTGACTTTTCAAGGTTAGATTACTTTTAATAAATTTTAGGTTATGTCATGAGAGGTTAAGTTAATAGAATTGATTACAAATAATAATTATTATAAATGAGAGTCATGTTTTTGAACACTATTCATCGAGGATAGCAATTAATATTGATTAATGAGTGATGACTAGAATTTTATTTTGTTTACTGCAATGTTGACAATAAAATTATTTTACTGATCACGTCAAATTATTTTGCTGACCATTTTCGATTATTGTTAACTGTTATTAACATTCATGTTTATCCATCCTTTTATGTATTGACAATTTCTTTGTACAAGTCTTTTATGTATTTACAATTTCTTTGTACAAGTTTTTTATGTATTTACAATTTCCTTGTACAAGTTTTTATGTACTTACAATTTTTATAATAGGTAATTTTTCACTTTGCATCAACATTGTTAAATTCTGTCATTTTCTTGTTTTAACTTCTGCTATAAAAATTTGTAAAATTACAGGATCTCTTTTATACTTACACTCAATGACACCTTTGAGACAGTGTTGAGACTCATTTTGAGGACAAAGTACCAGGTCGTAATATGGCGCAGGAATATAAGGATCGTTGCATTCTCTCGTGTGGCCATTACTTAAATCGGTGTTGCAGTCGAAGCACCATAAGTTGTCTCCTCTTGCATATTCTACTAAATAATTAAATTACCATACATTATAATACTGACATCTAAAAATAGTAGATAACTTAGAGGAAGATTTTCTTGTTATTTAAAAAGTTATCTTGCGACACAGAAAATAATCTTGTTTGCAAATGTATTTAAAGCATAACTTGAAATATAATTAGAGTATAATGAATCATTTCAGCTATCAAACACAAATAATCACAAATACTACAAATTTATTAATTAACGAAATGAACATAACGATGTAACAAACAAGTCATAAATTAGTTAACTCAATGAATAAACATTTCCTGGAACATAATCAGTTATCTAATTAAGAGGTTTAAAGAGAAACTTCGTAAAAAATTCCTCGACATCGTAGCAAACGTAAAGTACTTCATTAAAGTAACTTTCATTTATCTAGCTTATCTAAAGAACGAAAATAGTAATCAAACCCTTGAACCGTAGAACGTACTTACCGATATTAATTATCACGGATATTATCGTTAAGCTTAATTGTCCAACCATGCTGGTTGCAGCTTGAATTATACTAAATGAATCTCTTCGTTACCTGTTATCTTATCTCCAACAATAAAAGTAAGAACTGAAGTAGAATAGTATACTTCTGTACGTGTTCAAAGTAATGCGTTTGATCTCCTCTAGATACACAAAGAAGTATAAACTGATGTGAGCTGGTACACATTTTATTGGGCTATAATATTCTTCTGCAAAATGGCGGATATTCATGTAAATTTATTTTAGTATATTAGGTAATTATTATTTTGTTGTTAAGGCAGTAATGTTGATATTGTTAATATAGGTTGATAAGCTAGTACACATTTTTTCAGCAATGTAGTTCTTCAGTAAAATGGCGGATACTGTACTCAATGTAACTTGTTCCTATTATATTATTTTTATTTTATTATTTTAGTATTATATTAGTTAATTATTGTTCAGTTATTCACATCGTAATATTCTACTAAATAATTAAATTACCATACATTATAATACTGACATCTAAAAATAGTAGATAACTTAGAGGAAGATTTTCTTGTTATTTAAAAAGTTATCTTGCGACACAGAAAATAATCTTGTTTGCAAATGTATTTAAAGCATAACTTGAAATATAATTAGAGTATAATGAATCATTTCAGCTATCAAACACAAATAATCACAAATACTACAAATTTATTAATTAACGAAATGAACATAACGATGTAACAAACAAGTCATAAATTAGTTAACTCAATGAATAAACATTTCCTGGAACATAATCAGTTATCTAATTAAGAGGTTTAAAGAGAAACTTCGTAAAAAATTCCTCGACATCGTAGCAAACGTAAAGTACTTCATTAAAGTAACTTTCATTTATCTAGCTTATCTAAAGAACGAAAATAGTAATCAAACCCTTGAACCGTAGAACGTACTTACCGATATTAATTATCACGGATATTATCGTTAAGCTTAATTGTCCAACCATGCTGGTTGCAGCTTGAATTATACTAAATGAATCTCTTCGTTACCTGTTATCTTATCTCCAACAATAAAAGTAAGAACTGAAGTAGAATAGTATACTTCTGTACGTGTTCAAAGTAATGCGTTTGATCTCCTCTAGATACACAAAGAAGTATAAACTGATGTGAGCTGGTACACATTTTATTGGGCTATAATATTCTTCTGCAAAATGGCGGATATTCATGTAAATTTATTTTAGTATATTAGGTAATTATTATTTTGTTGTTAAGGCAGTAATGTTGATATTGTTAATATAGGTTGATAAGCTAGTACACATTTTTTCAGCAATGTAGTTCTTCAGTAAAATGGCGGATACTGTACTCAATGTAACTTGTTCCTATTATATTATTTTTATTTTATTATTTTAGTATCATATTAATTAATTATTGTTCAGTTATTCACATCGTAATATTGATATTATTAATACAGGCTGTTAAACTGGTACATATTTTTTTTTCAGCAATATAGTTCTTCAGCAAAATGGCGGATACTGTACTCGATGTAACTTATTTTTATTATATTATTTTTATTTTATTATTTTAGTATCATATTAATTAATTATTGTTCAGTTATTCACATCGTAATATTGATATTATTAATACAGGCTGTTAAACTGGTACATATTTTTTTTTCAGCAATATAGTTCTTCAGCAAAATGGCGGATACTGTACTCAATGTAATTTATTCCTATTATATTATTTTTATTTATTATTTTTATTTTATTATTTTAGTATCATATTAATTAATTATTGTTCAGTTATTCACATCGTAATATTGATATTATTAATATAGTTTGGTAAGCTGGTACTCATTTCTTTCAGCAATATACTTCTTCAGCAAAATGGCGGATACTGTACTCGATGTAACTTATTTTTATTATATTATTTTTATTTTATTATTTTAGTATTATGTTAGTTAATTATTGTTCAGTTATTCACATCGTAATATTGATATTATTAATACAGGCTGTTAAACTGGTACATATTTTTTTTTCAGCAATATAGTTCTTCACCAAAATGGCGGTACTCGATTATTAACATAGACAAATACACAAGCTAACTTAGATATTTAAATACGTTATTTTCAATCATTTTTATTTCAAAATATTCTCTATTTCTTATACCATGAAGAATTTACATTGATTCATCTAAAAATCCATTTATCCATATTTATCTAAAAATCCATTTATTGATATTCATATAAAAATTCATTTATCCGTATTCATATAAAAATTCATTTTTAGGTTATGTAACTTTTAAAAACATTCTACAAACGACAAAATATGTCTTTCATTATAAAATATGTCTTAAATATGATACTTTCTATTAAACTGTCTCGTTAGCCTCAAACAAAAGTTCTTTTATTAAAAATAGTTAATACTCATGAAAGAAAATTTGTGTTTAAAGATAAGCAACTAAATTGCCGTTGCAACAACATATCACAGGAAATGAATTATTACACCGAGTTAATTATTTAACATACATTTTATTGCTCGTTATAATTTTCGTGCGGTAACATCGTACTCGATGTTGAGAAGCTCGATAACATTTCACGGTATAAACACCTGGCCAAATTTCATATTCGAAAGCCGTATCCTTTATATAATATACATATCGTTTATAATAAACATTTATTTATGCACATACGGTGGAGCTTCCTCGAATATTCGAACGAGAATTTAATACATGCGTACAGGCAATTAAATGGAATTCTAAAGAACGTTCGATGTACAAAACCGTCAGTGTTTCCCGGAAAATGCGAATTTAGTCGAAAGCTACTGTTTATAATTCTGCGGTTCGCACCTGAATTTTCGAAACAAGAATTTAATCGTGTAATCGATGAAACTCTCGTATCGGTCGTGAAAAATTTTTTGACAAAACCTAGGAAGTTCGAGATTTTCCTTAATAAAGTGTGCACGTAATACTCAATAGAAAATTTCGCGTGCGTTTCTTGTTTCATACCGCGGTAAATCACCACCGTAACGTTACGTGATCGTGAAACGAACGTAAAATATCGATGAACAACATGTAGGGTGTGTATGTATGTGTGTTTGAACATTGGAATGCGCTATGAATCGATTGTAATCAATTCTATACATTCGTGTGGCAAAGGTTACGCGTGGTTGTAAAAAGAACGCAGAATCACTGTTCCCAGGACCAATACCAAATTGAGGAGTAATTCCGGAGTAACTATAGTCGAACCGTTGCAAGCGTCGTGCATGCATAACTCGCAAAATTCCAGACTGATGTCGTTAGAAAATTTCCTTTGGATCGCTTTGCATGGGTCGATAGTCTCCGCCTTCGCTGTTTGACAGTTTCTCACTGTCACGTCCTTCCCTTTAACTGACGAACAAATAATAACATTTTTATTGGACTGCAAAATTTATGGATGCGACAGGGGTCGTCTACGACGCTTATAAAATTTTCCGGAATTTGGATATTTTCCAACTTGCGAAGTCAGGATTTCTCGACTTTACGGTTATACTGCTTTACAAATTTATAGATATATAAATATCAAATTTTATGATTTTACAATTTTTTAATTTTATAATTTTGCGATTTTACAATTTGACAATTTGACAATTTTACGATTTGACAATTTTGCGTTTTGACTATTTGACAATTTGACAATTTTAAAATTTGACAATTTTGCATTTTGACTATTTGACAATTTGGCAATTTGGCAATTTGATAATTTTACAAATTTTACTAATTTCACAATTTTACAATTTTACTAAATTACAGCTTTACGATTTTTCAATTTTACAATTTCATAATTTTGCAACTTTACAAATCTCCAAATCTCTAAATCGCCAAATTATCAAATCCCCAAATTCTCAAGTTCCTATATCGCCAAATACTGAAATATCCAAAACCCCAAATTCCCAAATTTTCAAATTACTAAATTCCAAAATTTCCAATTTTCCAAATTCCCAATTTATTACATCCCAAAATCTTTAACTTCACAAGTCCCCAAATCCTTAATTCCCAAACCCCCAAAATCCCCAAATCCCCAACTCTCCAAATCCCTAAATTTTCACATCCCTGAATTCTCAAGTTTCCACATCTTCAAATTTCCAAATATCCAAATCCCTAAATCCCTAAATTCTTAAATTCCCAAAATCCCAAAATTCCAAAATTCCAAAATTCCAAAATTCCAAAATTCCAAATTCCCAAAATTCCAAATTCCCAAAATTCCAAATTCCCAAAATTCCAAATTCCCAAAATTCCAAATTCCCAAAATTCCAAATTCCCAAAATTCCAAATTCCCAAAATTCCAAATTCCCAAAATTCCAAATTCCCAAAATTCCAAATTCCCAAAATTCCAAATTCCCAAAATTCCAAATTCCCAAAATTCCAAATTCCCAAAATTCCAAATTCCCAAAATTCCAAATTCCCAAAATTCCAAATTCCCAAAATTCCAAATTCCCAAAATTCCAAATTCCCAAAATTCCAAATTCCCAAAATTCCAAATTCCCAAAATTCCAAATTCCCAAAATTCCAAATTCCCAAAATTCCAAATTCCCAAAATTCCAAATTCCCAAAATTCCAAATTCCCAAAATTCCAAATTCCCAAAATTCCAAATTCCCAAAATTCCAAATTCCCAAAATTCCAAATTCCCAAAATTCCAAATTCCCAAAATTCCAAATTCCCAAAATTCCAAATTCCCAAAATTCCAAATTCCCAAAATTCCAAATTCCCAAAATTCCAAATTCCCAAAATTCCAAATTCCCAAAATTCCAAATTCCCAAAATTCCAAATTCCCAAAATTCCAAATTCCCAAAATTCCAAATTCCCAAAATTCCAAATTCCCAAAATTCCAAATTCCCAAAATTCCAAATTCCCAAAATTCCAAATTCCCAAAATTCCAAATTCCCAAAATTCCAAATTCCCAAAATTCCAAATTCCCAAAATTCCAAATTCCCAAAATTCCAAATTCCCAAAATTCCAAATTCCCAAAATTCCAAATTCCCAAAATTCCAAATTCCCAAAATTCCAAATTCCCAAAATTCCAAATTCCCAAAATTCCAAATTCCCAAAATTCCAAATTCCCAAAATTCCAAATTCCCAAAATTCCAAATTCCCAAAATTCCAAATTCCCAAAATTCCAAATTCCCAAAATTCCAAATTCCCAAAATTCCAAATTCCCAAAATTCCAAATTCCCAAAATTCCAAATTCCCAAAATTCCAAATTCCCAAAATTCCAAATTCCCAAAATTCCAAATTCCCAAAATTCCAAATTCCCAAAATTCCAAATTCCCAAAATTCCAAATTCCCAAAATTCCAAATTCCCAAAATTCCAAATTCCCAAAATTCCAAATTCCCAAAATTCCAAATTCCCAAAATTCCAAATTCCCAAAATTCCAAATTCCCAAAATTCCAAATTCCCAAAATTCCAAATTCCCAAAATTCCAAATTCCCAAAATTCCAAATTCCCAAAATTCCAAATTCCCAAAATTCCAAATTCCCAAAATTCCAAATTCCCAAAATTCCAAATTCCCAAAATTCCAAATTCCCAAAATTCCAAATTCCCAAAATTCCAAATTCCCAAAATTCCAAATTCCCAAAATTCCAAATTCCCAAAATTCCAAATTCCCAAAATTCCAAATTCCCAAAATTCCAAATTCCCAAAATTCCAAATTCCCAAAATTCCAAATTCCCAAAATTCCAAATTCTCAAAATTGCAAATTCCCAAAATTCCAAAATTAGAAGATGTAGATAAAATATGAAATGTAAATAAGTAAGTAACCCTTACCTTTAAGAACCATTTTGGCACAAGCCATTGTCGCGGGAGCATGATACTGTTGCGTGTTGTCGACGTCGAAGATGTAAGATATGTTCCTCAAATCGTTGTGCTGTTGAACAATTTTTTGCATATCTGACATGCTGTCCAGTGTACATTTCTCCATTTTAATGTTGGGCGTCTTTGGATCAGTGTCACAGCCTGGGTGCGTCAGGGAGGTGCACATGTAGCACTTGACATTCTCATCTGTAAAATAAAATAATAACATTACTAATTAACCAGTCAATTCTAATAAAATAAATATCATTTTTAATTTTGAAAAAAAAATATTATAAATCAACTCACGTTTTTTTAACGTAAAATACAAAAAATATATTTTAATGTGAATTATAAAAGCTTTCTAAACAAAGTCTGACCTTTTGAAAATAGTAATTTAAGCTAACAATTAATGTAAAGTTTGTTGTAACGTTTAATAAAATTATTCATTTGCAACATTTCATAAAACATTCTTATAAATTGTAAACTTATTTTTAAACAAAATCACATTTTGAAACTAGAAAATATTTAATAAAATTCTTCGTTAAAAGTTTGAAACATCTGACCAAGTAGTCAGTCTTCAAGTTTATATAAATATACCTTTATGCATAATATTTAGTATTGTTTTCCAAAGATATACATTTGAGAGTTATTATAAAATAATCACACATCAAACTTTTTACATAAATAATTTTGCGCAAAATGACTACATATTTAATAAACTAGAATGTTTAATAAAAATATTTGTCCAAGGTGTATTCTAAAATAATACTAATCTATAACATCTACCTCTGTGTTACAAAATATAATAATCTTGTAAATGAAATAACTATCATTAACCTAACCTAACCTCTTTACACAGTCTCCTTTAGTAACCTAACCTAATCTTCTTTCACGCAGAAAATATAAAGTAGCTAAACTATTAATATTAACAAGCTTATTACTATTTATTTGCACATTACTACTATCACTGGTAAATAATTTTTGAAGAACCCAAAGAATCTCTGATTGATTCTCTCAATTTCCGTAACATCTCTTTTTAATTACTCTCGTGAGTTACGGTTTGTTCCAGTTACGTTGTCCAGCGCTGTACACAAGTCATTTTTCTTCGTCGCGTAATTTATTTGAATGTAACGATTCTTTGTTTCCCAAGAAAGTAGACATTTGAACAGCGTCTGGCGCCTGGTAGACGCTTCTACGACGCCGCACCCCACCCTCTTGTCACATAATTCTACCGAACGAACCGAAAGTACGTACTTACTTGCGTACAGTGGGAATATCTGTAATCGTAGTTGCGTTTCGTTAGATATCACAGGATTCCGACACCCATATATTCTATGTGGTTATTTGGGTCGCAGCGTCGTGGCGCCAAACGTGATGCTACTCACCCCTCAACTTGTGACTCATAATTTGATGTACGACACTTATACTATTATGTGTGATTTCTGTATTGGGATTATTTCTATATTGGGACCATTGAAAATCTCTTAGAATAAATTTTAGAGATAGTATGTCTCGATATAACCGATTTCAATTACTATTTATTTGTACAATACTTATACTACTCACATGTGATTTCTATATCGGTATCATTTCTATATTGGGACCATTGAAAATCTCTTAGAATAAATTTTAGAGATAGTATGTCTCGATATAACCGATTTCAATCACTATTTATTTGTATTACACTTATACTACTACATGTGATTTCTATATGGGGATGAATCTCTTGTAAATTCTAGAGGCAGAGTGTCTCGGTATAATCGATTTCAATCACTATTTATTTGTACGACACTTATACTACTACATGTGATTTCTATGTCACGATCAATCTCTTGTAAATTCTGGAGGTAGTATGTCTCGATGTAGTCGATTTCAATTAATATTTATTTGTACGACACTTATACTACTCACATGTCAGTTCTACATATATGGGGATCAATCTCTTGTAAATTCTGGAGATTGTGTGTTTCGATATAATCGACTTCAGTTACATGATTTTTATGTATTTATGATACATCGAGGAGTGCAAATTATACGTAACATACATGTGTAATCGCATGTGTAATCGTATGTGTAATCGTATGTGTAATCGTATGTGTAATCGTATGTGTAATACGTATCATCATATGTATCACACACATATCTACATCAATGTAGATTACCTATGTAGTTTCAAGTCAAATTAGATAAACATCATGTAATCTATGTGATGCACAATACAGTATGTATAAATCATGTAGTCCATACGATTCACAGTATACAAATTGCATAATTTATGTACACTTTGCAGACTTTGATGTACCATACATACATATGTAAACATTCACAGTCCATTGTGTGAATACATCCATTTCTTGTCCAATTCTTCTGTCGCGTAAAACAGATTGTCCCCAACTATTTTCTCATATATAAAAAATATTAAATAAAGAATGAATAAAGGAGAATTGTATTTTCTACAAGTTCTTAAATTAATTTTTGTGTGTTTCAACTTTAAACCATCCTTATTAATTCAAAATGAATAATAAAAAATAAATATACTACAAAAACAAATGAGTCATGAAAAGAACTACAACAACTTCTTCATATCATTTTCATGTTCCAAGAAATCACTCTAAAAAGTCCAAGTGACTCACAGTCTATAAATTATATACAAGTCTTGTAATCTATGTGAGACACAATTTATACATTATATATAAATTTTCATGTTCTAAAATCACTCTAAAAAAGATAAAGATAATAAACTATAATAAATATAACAAAATAATTGCCACGCTAGAATACTTGCCAGCTTATCACTTATAATATGCAAATAAGAACACTAAAAAGGTAAGACTGTTACAGAATGTGCATGTCTAAGAGTTATAATGACTAAATGTTATGTAATCTAAATGTACATAAGTCGTGATTTATACACATTGGATTTCTGCCCGGAATCAAGTGATCGTGATCTTCAGTCTGTACTTGTGGAACTTATCGGTTAAAACGAGGTATGACGACAGTTTATACTAAAACTGTGTTTTGGAGTTTAGTGGCACGAAACCTTGAAATTGGGTAATTGTAAATAAATTATGAATTGAAATGAATTCCACAAACTTTTATGTAAATTTTAGCTTTCAAAAATAATTTACAATATTGAAAAAATTCATTTGTAAAATATAATGTTCATTTTCTGGTAAATAAATATAAAAATGCAGTCGAGTGACATTAACATTTATAAAAATTTTGTCTTTCAAAAATAATTCAGAAGATTCAAAAAATTCATTTGTAAAGTGTAATGTGCATTTATATGGTAAATAAATATGAAGATACAGTATAAAGATTATTATGTGTTGTGAGAGTTGGATGTCCATATGTGCAACCATTTTGTGATACTTCCATGTGCAACCATTTTACGGAGCAAACCTTCCGCTAACCTTTCACTTTCACGATTATTTAACGGATAATTTCATCGTCTGAGAAAAATGAGATTGACAGCACTGAGTAACAATAAGTATTTTGTTACATTTATGACAATTTATTACAACTATTATACAATAAAAAAGTATTGGTTTCTGATTGCTTCGAATGTGTTATGAGAAAATAATTCCTTGCTTGGATTATTTTCATGAGATATCAATTTTTGCGAAATATCAATCTGAGTAAAATCTACGAGTAAAATCTCCTCTGCTAAATGTAATATTAAGTGTAAAATTAAAATTTATTAACCAGTAAATGTATTATTATTAACTAGTAAAAAATTATTAAATATATTACCTTATAAAAATATTATAATAAATGTCTAGTAACAAGTTCAGTATTAAATTAAACACATGTTTTACACATATCACAAAGGCAGTGACCTCTCTGTTTACCCTGCATCATGTGAACGTTTCAAATTTCACAACTGTCATCACTGAAATATTATTATTAGAAAAAAAAGTGTCTGCCTCGCAAGTAACAATCTTGCATTCTTTATGTAATTTTTACATACCTCGATACTTTATTTTAAAAATAAAATTTTGTAACTACCTTATATGTATAAAAGTGGTCATTTCAACATTGAAAATTGTGTATAAGTAATAAAATTCGTCGAACTCGTGTTAATTCAAGGGGTCCCTGCAATTTTTCTATTTTCGTTGACGTACCAGCCCGGGAACCTATTTTTAGCTTCTACAGCTAAAAGTATAAATTGACACAACGTACGAGTTTCAATTTGTACTTGATAGAAGTTAATCCTGTTTTTTTTTAAGGGTAAATATTGTACGCAAGTAAATATTTTTCTGTGCTTGTTTGCTGACAACTTTGACAAATGTGATAAAATATGGATTTTTTTTCCTGCGTTTTATGAGGGTGATTTTTAAAATTGATTTAAAGAATGGTGGTTCTTATAATACTTGGTAGTTTTTAGATTTAATTACTGTAAATTTGGATCGCTAATTTTGACGACATTCCTTTGTGTACGTTTCACAGATTGAGTCACGACTGACTCATCGCAACCCTTTAATAAATAATACCTGTTGTAATTAAAAATAATATAAACAATTATATAAAATTTTCTTGTAAACTTGAAATAAATTTGTAAACTTAATAATAAAGAAAATTTATGAACTTCAATTATTATTAAAATAAACTATTAAATTATTAAATTATAAGTGACATTATTAGTGATCGTTTTTAACAAGGATTTAAAGACTATCTTGACGACTCGTGTCCGTGAATATTTCGATCCTTTTATAACGAAACATTTAATCTTGTTAAAAAGATTCATGCTTCAGGAGTTTTGTATACTAAGCGGTTTAAGTATTGTCTCGATACTCCGTTTGCAGATATTTAGATTTATTTTAATATTAATTAATCGCGACGATATAAATGTAATGAATTTTTATGTTATATAGAATGAAAATAATAAAACAATCAATATTGTCAGGTACATAAGTTTTTGCATTTATTGTATTTAATTTACAAGTTCTATTTTGTAGATAGTAAGAAAGAATTATTTTTTTGATAATATTAAAGTAGAAATAATAAAAGTTAGTTTAAAATTATAATAGAAAGTTGTGACAAAAATTATGATAAACGTAATAAAATTATGACAAAAAATTATAATATAAGATTTTATTAAAAATAATAATGAAATTGTAATAAAATAATGAAATAAATATAGTAAAAGACATAATTGAATTACAATAAAAAATTATAATATAAAATTATAACAAAAAATAATAATAAAATTGTAATAAAACATTAAACTAAAAAACATAACAAACATAATAAAATTACAGTAAAAGATTATAATAAAAAATTACAATAAAAATCATAACAAAATAAAATTACAACAAAAAATTATAATACAAGATTGTAATAAAAATAATAATAAAATTGTAATAAAACATTAAACTAAAAAACATAACAAACATAATAGAATTACAGTAAAAGATTATAATAAAAAATTACAATAAAAATCATAACAAACATAATAAAGTTACAGTAAAAAATTATAATAAAACATTACAGTAAAAATCATAATAAACAATAAACTTGTAATAAAGTGTTTTAATAAAATATTACAATTAAAGTAACATAACAAAATAACATAATAACGAAGTAACAAAACATAATAAACATAGAAAAATTACATTAAAGAATTATAATAAAAAATAGTAACAATAATTATGATGAGTTTCTTTTACTTACTACAACAAATTTAAATTTTTTTCTTTCAACCCCTTCAAAATGAATACTCGATATGATGTATTCAATCATTAAAAAGCAATAGACAAAATATACAACAAAAGCTTCTGATACAACCAGCCTAAAACAAAAATAAACCAACAAAACGCATTAATACTCAATTCTCATAATTTCAACCCTTAGACAGATTCTGCAGAAGCCTCACAAAAAGATCTCCTTAATAAAAAAAACAGTGGAAATTACAATCACAGTTAAAAAGACGCTCAGTTTAAAATCAAGTCGGAGACCACCGCGCCCCCATAAAGGGTTAATCGAATTCAAACCCCGTTCACCTGGCATCTATCGCAAAGAACGCGATAACGAGAAATACCGTAAGCACTGTAATATTTCTCAAGCCACCAATCACACATCGTTCTCGAACTTTCATCCGCGTAATCACCAATATTTCACCAATACAAAGAATCTCGTTAGCGAACAATTGTGCAATAATCACCTGAACGAACCACGAAGACGAGCGCGAAGCTAACAATTAGCACTGAGATCCTTCGAAGCATTCCGGAAGTTGTCGGCGAAATAAATGGCTTTCGAGGCGAAGTTTATCCTCGGGAAGTGGAACGCAAACTGTGGTGCGTGACGGAGGGTGAAGCACTGGCTGAGAGAGGAAGGGTTGTCGTCGAGTCGACAGACTGATCGCGAGTATGAGATTGCGAGGTTCGCCACTCACCAACGCCACTCCTTTCCTATTTTCTCCACTCCACTCGGTTTTTCGCCTCTCTTACGCCACGGTTCGCGTAATCGCGCACAACCGTGCACTCTAACCCCCTAAATCTCCTTGCTAGATCATCTGGCATAGATCGTCGCCGCGCCGCCATTAACACGTTGAATGCGTTCGCCGGTGACCGCTTTTAGGAATGTACTCTGGCTATTTTAATTATTTCTTCTTGCAAATTTTGGAGTTTTTATATTTTAGGATTTTTTGGTGGAATTTCTTTGTTTAGATAGAAATTTGAGAGATTTTTTTATTTTTATAATATGAGATCTTTGATTTTGAAATTGAAGAAATTTCTGTGGAATTAATTTTTTTGTTTTTATTTTCTCAAGACCTGATTTTGAATTGTGAGAATTTTTGTGTTGTAATTTTTTTAGTTTCTATAGTACCACATCTCTCATTTGGAAATTGTACAAAATTATTTTTTTTTAATTTTTAGGGATTTTTTAATTTTTATATTCTCATGTCTCTGATTTCGAAATTGATCAAATTTCACTATTGTGAGTTTCTTAGTTTTTATATTCTAAGATCTCTGATTTCAGGATTGTAAGAATTTCTGTGTTGTTAGTAACTTGATATAACATTATCCAACTTGCATGTCAAGTAACTTGATACTATTTCATATAGCTTATATTTCAAGTAACTTGATACTGCTTCATGTAGCTTATAGTTCAAGTAACTTAATGTTATCTCATGTAACTTATATTTTAAGTAACTTGATATCACGTCGTCCAACTTGCATTTCAAGTAACTTAATACTAGTTCATGTAGCTTATATTTCAAGTAATTTGATACTATTTCATGTAGCTTATAGTTCAAGTAACTTAATGTTATCTCATGTAACTTATATTTTAAGTAACTTGATATCACGTCGTCCAACTTGCATTTCTAGTAACTTGATACTAGTTCATGTAGCTTATATTTCAAGTAACTTGATATTACTTGATGTAGCTTACATTTCAAGAAACTTGATATTACATCATGTAACTTATATTTCTACTTCATTTTACTTTATGAAACACGTATTTCAACTGACTTAATGTTACTTAAATTTGACGAAATAAAGGTTGAAATAAATTGAAGTCTTGAAGTTTCAATAAACTTGATTTTACTTCATGTCATTTATATTTAAACTCCATTTTACTTCATGCAACTAATATTTCAGCTAACTTAATGTCACTTAAATTTAACAAAATAAAAGTTGCAATAAATTGAAGTCTTGAAGTTTCAATAAACTTGATTTTACTTCATGTCATTTATATTTAAACTCCATTTTACTTCATGCAACTAATATTTCAGCTAACTTAATGTCACTTAAATTTAACAAAATAAAAGTTGCAATAAATTGAAGTCTTGAAGTCTCAGCAAACTTGATATTACATCATGTGACTTATATTTCAACTCCATTTTACTTCACGCAACCAGTATCTTAGCTAACCTAACATTACTTAAAGTTAACAAAATAAAAGTTGCAATAAATTGAAGTCTTGAACTCTCAGCAATCTTCGAAGACACCCAGTATATTTTCAACCGAAGAAACAAAATAGTATATCCGCTAATTTATCTGAAGACGCGAAGAATTCTAAGGGGAAAATTTCATTCGAAAAATACATCTAAAATATTTGGCATGAATTCCGGATATTTCACACCGAACTAGGAACCACTATATAAATCGTGGTAGTAACGATTGACGAGGGGAGGAAAGCGTGGATACGTTGAAGGACGTTAATTGTCTATTAGCCTAATTATAGTTAGTAACATCCATGACAAAAGCAGTGCACAGGCTACGTTGTCATAGTATAAGTCACTTAACTACGTGTCTAAAATCGTTCTTCTTATACGGTTATCTGAGAATAAACAATCGTATCTTCCAACTGGATGTCGGCTACGGAATTTGATAACGGGTTTGCATAAATGATAAGTGATCATTTGGATCATGCAAATTAACTTTGTTTATGATGTTAAGATAATTTTGTTAAAGACTTGAAATTGTATTTTTTAAAATGAGTGTTTTATGTTTTTCAAAGTTCTTATCTCTGCATTTTTATATTTTGTAAATTTCGTATTTATTATTTTCTTATTTTCTTATTTTTATATTTTATATTTTTCAAACTTATTATTTCTAGATTTTATATTTCTTAAATTTCATATCTCCATATTTAATATTTTTTAAATTTCAGACCCCACATTTCATATTTTAAAATTTCCTTCAGCTCTGTACAAGAAGAGTATTTTCCCTCAATTTATGAAAGCAAATAAAAATTTATTGTACCATATTTAATATAAAATAAAAACATACTAGTTTGTCCTTTTATACAGTATAAGAATAGATTCATAATATAGTAGACTCTCGTTATATTGTCACCATTGCAGAATTTCGTACAGATAACATGTGGGGATGCGGGAACACCATCAGGGTATCAAAGGAGAAAACTTCTTATCAAACTGCAGGAGTTTTCAACTCTTATAGCACCATCAGTGGCGATATAACGAGACTCTACTATATTTACGTTACCATCCCATAGAACACAGTCGAACACATTTATAAATCACAAAGTTCTTAAAACAAATACCATTTTATTTCATATGATATATTTTTAGAAAATGGAATTTGTGACTGAAATAAAATTAATTTTGCTATACCTTGATTTACTTAAAGAAGACTATTATGTAAACTATTATTTAAACTATTTGTTCAAACTACTTATTTAAATTAATTATTTAAACCACTTATTTAAGCTAATTATTTAAACTAATTATTTAAACTACTTGTTCAAACTACTTATTCAAATTAATTGTTTAAACCACTTATTTAAGCTAATTATTTAAACTAATTATTTAGACTATTTGTTCAAACTACTTATTTAAATTAATTATTTAAACCACTTATTTAAACTAATTATTTGAACTAATTATTTAGACTATTTGTTCAAATTACTTATTTAAATTAATTATTTAAACCTCTTATTTAAGCTAACTATTTAAACTAATTATTTAGACTATTTGTTCAAACTACTTATTTAAATTAATTATTTAAACTACTTATTTAAACTAATTATTTAAACTATTTGTTCAAACTACTTATTCAAATTAATTATTTAAACCACTTATTTAAGCTAATTATTTAAACTATTACAAAACTAGTATTAATTATTTAAATATTATTAACCAGTACAAAAATATAAATAAATAAACGACAAACCAGTATCAAATTCTCCTTCAAAATAATTCAAAAACCCTCTTCCCAGTATTTCACCCTTCACCCCTCAAAGAAGCTTCCTCCATCGTCCCTGATCTCAATCTATCCCCCATTAAGGGTAATGTTCATTTGATCATTTCAACATTCCAATTGCATAATGTCCGAATTGCAAACCATTAATCACTATTATTCCACGTTTTTAAACTCTTCAAAAAAACCACAACCCAACATTTCGTTATTTATTATCATTTGATGCTGACATCATTTTACAGTGATAATCTAGAACACCCTGCAAATGTATACGTAGTTTGACCCTTTTCGAAGTTGTCATCGTTTCGAAATTTCTTCTCCTCGAAAAACGACGCGTCTGTAAATAAGTTAACGCGAATCTAAAGCGTATTTTTCTTTCTGTAACGACGCTAATCATTCTTGTATCATTTTTCCAGGGTGAGCTCCGTTTCCAGGGAAAATCGCTGTGTTACAGTGAAGAAAACGGTCGAAGGAAAAGGATGAAAACGAGAGACGTCTGGCGCCACGGCGCCTATGTAGGACACCGTCGTCGCCGTCTAGCTCAGTTTTGGATTTAGCAATTACTAAGTAACAGAATTCGACGCGTTCTGCTCGCAATTAGGTTTACTTCTTAACCCTTTCGAATTTGTTCATGGAGGAAAGTTGCTTTTTGCTGAATTCTGAGAATTAAATTATTATTCTTTGGTATAGCTGGGAGAGATACAAATAGGGTTATTTTGGTCTTAATAGGTATTAATGGTTGTGACAATATGACAATACGAAAAATAAAATTGACCGAATACACCAGGCATTTATTTAGCATGTCCTTATGTGAGGACGCCATGACAGTTTATCATATTTTACTTATAATGGTTATTTTAGTTATGCTGGTTATTTTGGTCATAATTAATGACTGTTACAATATAACAATGTTTACGAGCAATAAAATTGACCGAATACACCAGGCATTTATTTAGCATGTCCTTATGTGAGGACGCCATGACAGTTTATCATATTTTACTTATAATGGTTATTTTAGTTATGCTGGTTATTTTGGTCATAATTAATGACTGTTACAATATAACAATGTTTACGAGCAATAAAATTGACCGAATACACCAGGCATTTATTTAGCATGTCCTTATGTGAGGACGCCATGACAGTTTATCATATTTTACTTATAATAGTTATTTTAGTTATGCTGGTTATTTTGGTCATAATTAATGACTGTTACAATATAACAATGTTTACGAGCAATAAAATTGACCGAATACACCAGGCATTTATTTAGCATGTCCTTATATGAGGACGCCATGACAGTTCACCATAACTATTATAGACTTTCAAACTACAATATTCTATATCTTTAAGAAAATCATAACGAGTAACATTTAAGTAACATTTTTTTAACAGATTAGTTTGTATTTTATTAGAATATACTGTCATTTGACCTTTGCTATGAAGGTTTGAAAAATAACTCTTATTGGATCTCTGAATTTGTGGTCACATTCAATGACATCTTTGAGACAATAGTGACACTCATTTTGAGGTTAGAGCAACCCTTTGTCATGCAACTGTAATATTTGAATCATGAAGAAAAGTTAGGTAATAAATTTTGCAGGTTATGGTGAAATATCATTAATAAAATTTGTTAGAAATAATGATTGTTCTTTGTTCACATATTCTTGCAATAATTTTTAAATAAATTATCAAACATTTGTTAAGAATTACTATAATGATTGTACCTTGTTCACATACTCT